GTTGGGCCATCTTGGGGATTATTGAACCAATCCTGGTCTTTCTCAGAACCCTTCAAGGCTTGCCCCGCCGACCGACATTCCACCTCAACCATCACAAGCAAAAGACAACCGACTCCACCGCTCCTCCTGCTCATATGGACAGCGTTTGATATGAGCGAAACATAGGAGCAACAAATTAATATCTGCTCGAGCGGGCTACATGTCAAGAGCGATTCACCGCATTCCAAGTTATGTTCGAGCGTTGCTACGAACACTACTCTAAACCGCACGGCTTCACGTACTTTTGCGGATGACCTGTTAAAACAGGCTAGGGCTCGCCGTGCTGCTCGTGTATGTTCCAGCATGCCTTGAGGCGCCCTCCGTCTGACGAGGAAGCTATAGTGAGTTCCTCCCCTTGCGAAGCGGCACGAGTAGTCACCACAGTAAGCATCCCAGGCTCGAGGAGGGTTAGTGTTGCCATCATTGCACGCAGGACAGAAGCCACAATTCGTGTGCGTATCATGATTCAACGATGAAAGGGGCCACGAATACACTGCAGGTCTTGGTACCATTACATGTGTCATCTACGCCAAAACAGTTTTGCTCGCAAGCTGCATCGGTTCGTTCTGTACGGAGTACTGCGCGCTCCGCCACAGGGTAGTATGCAGCCGCCTGACCGAGCAGCGGGAGCCCACGGCGACCCAAGCCACGCTGAAGATCTCCCGAAAGCACCATGTCTGAGCGTTCGATGCCATAGTGCAGCTGGACAAGACGCCAAGCAATCCCCTCGCCCCCCACAACAACATGGGCAAGCTGCGAGTTGACAGCCGACCCGGCGCCGTTATCGAATATGTTTTGTCATCTGTGAACATTGCGTGGCTTTGACCACTGCTTACAGTGAGCCCGTGGGAGACTTGAGCGACTTCGCATCGTTTCAAATCGGAGGTGGCGCGCACGCCGCGACTTTTTCCTGCGATCTGCAAGACCTCGCAATATCGGGTAGCCTCCAGCACACCTGGCTGTGCCAACACCCGCGTTTTTACCAACTCCCTGTCGCTGGGCTCCTCACCGTCCATCGACAACAACTGCACGCGAAACCCGCCACGCGCCATGTCGATCGCATGCCACATCTCCGCGACGCTGGTCTGGAAAACGCCCGCACCATCGGCAACGTCTACGAACTCCTGCTCTACGAGCTGGGGCAGCGCCTTGCCCTTAGGTGCGACGGACTCGCCTACGTGCTGAGGGCTGGCAGCAGCAGGCGCAAACGCGAGAGCATTCGACGATGGGGTGGGGGTCGAACACGGTCTGCATTGCGTTGCCACACGCCGCCGCCGCTAGGTTGAGGCAAGGCAGTGAGGTCGCCTGCTCCGGAAGGGTGTGGCAAAATACATGACAGGGCACGCACGCAACTTACATGATCGGCAAACAACGACGCTGGCTCTGGCTCACCCGGGCAGTTCAAACCTTAAACAGCAGTTTCCCACGCTTGGCGACCCGACCGCAGGCACAACGAAACTGCTGTGTCAAATAATCCAGCAATTCCCTCTGCGATCAGGTGTGTCGCCGCATCTGTCGCAAGCGCTTTGACAACAGCGCTTGGCGTGCGCAGGTTAGCAACGTGAGCATCCCAAGCCATACCATGTCGCTTGCCCGCCCTTTTGCGTGTTGCCTTCGGGCTTGCAATCGGCGCGGTCCGCGCGTCCGTGAGGTGCCCATCCGATAGCGAATCGGCACGGGTACCACGCATACAGTCTGCCATGATTTTGAGGACGTGTTCGGCGATGGCTAGCGAAGCTCCGCGGAAGAAGCGGGCTGCTGCCAACAGCACGGCAGCGGGTCCACCTCTTCTACGTCGCAGCGCGGCAAGGGCAATCATCACGCGCGCTCGGGCGCGAGTTGACCGGCAGTAAGAGTGGAAAAAAGACGGGGGGAGGAGCGGCCGCGGGAGAGGGGGGAAAAGACTAGAGCGCTCACGCGGCGGGACCCGCTGCGGAGCGGCCGGGGCGGCCGGCCGGTGCTGCACCCCTGGCAGCGGGCCCAAGGCTGGGGCAGCGGCTGCAATGCGCGAAGAAGCACAACCGGAGGAGCAGGCTAAAGTATCGATGACCAACTGCGGCGGCGCCGCGCGCAGCGTCCCAGGTGGCAAATGCTGCGGGACAGAGCTGCACAGGCTGCAAGGCGTGGGCTGTGCTGCAAGCGGTGGCCTCCGGGGGGGGGATCCCGCCAGACCGGCCAGAACGGAAGCGGTGCTGCTGGCGGCGGGGGCGCGCGCGCGCGTCCGCCCAGCAAACCACGACGGCCAAAGCGGAAGGTGGCGGTGGCCCGGGGTCAGCCGCGGCGGGCGGCGGAAAAGCGACCGCATGGACCCGGGTGGCGGTGCGGACCGCAGCAGGTCCACACGCACCCCCCGGAAACTGGTTGTAGAGCTGGACTGGTATCACCGATCCTGTCGAGTCCTGCACAAGGTCATGACACCCACCTGAATCAACGGTTCTGCCAACCGCGTGCCTTCCAGCTTTTGGCTGTTAATCTGCAACGCTGACCCAGCGTGCGGTGGCCTCGTCATGCAACGCTGCCGTGTTCTTCTGCACCGAAGAGCTGGTCTGCAACTGCAGCTTCTTACGAGTCGCCCAATCACTGTCACCCGTGGCTTTCCAATCTGCATGGCATCGCGCGTGACGCTCACGCGCGACGTCGCTGGAGTCGGGCATCCCCCAGGAGTTGAATCTGCCCCATGCATGCGTCGATGAGACCGCTGGCTTGCAAGCTGCAGCTGCGCTTGGCCCTGGTTTGACCCTGAGAGCACGCAGGATGGGATAACTGGGGCGTGGCGGGGCAGGTTCTGCTGGCACCCCGCGCTCGAGGAAATGAGCCCGCACTCTCACGCATGCATTGCGGACGGCGGTCCCAAATGCGTCTAGCATGCGCGACTGCGCATCGTCAGGGAGGCAGTCAAACTCATGTACTACTGATGGGGCGCAGTAGGTCCAAAGAACTGGCTCAACGTCCCGACTATTGAAGGCAATCGTCAGATCAATGTGACCTGACCAAAAAAGGAAAACGTGCAAACCAACACATATATATATATATATATATATGTGTGTCTATACACATATCTATATATACATGTATACAATCAACAAATCTCGTCATGGATCACTTGGGCGACCCCTGGGACGTCTGTGGGTTCTCTTGGGGCCGCCCCTTATTCTTGGGGTCATCCGGCCCTCTCTTGGGGCTGGCTCTCTCGCTTGGGGACCTGTTCGGCCGGCCTTGAGGCTTCTTGGAGCTGTTTTTGCAATCCTGGAGCTATTTGGGGCTTACCTTGCCGACTGGCCACGACACGCACGTAACTCTTGAAACAAGAAAGGGCGTGTTGCTGATTTCGGGCCTGCTGTGTACGACGGCCACAAATGCCTCCAAGATGGCCCCAATAAGCCCCTGAGAGAGCCCCTAAGACGGGGCAAGAGCTTCCCAAAATGATCCCAAGCGGGTCCGAAGACGGCCAAACAGACCTCCAAGACTGCCTACCAAGACCGCCCAAGAAGCTCCTCAAATTGCTCCAAAATGGAACCCGGACGGGGGACCCGAGCGGACATTTCGAGCCAACGGCTCCGAGAGGCTCCCTGGAGGCCCGGAGAGGTTCCCAAGAGGCCCCAAGAGGCCCCCAAGACGCCCCCAGGAAGCCCCAAGAGGCCCCCAAGAGGCTCCCAAGAGGCCCCCAAGAGACTCCCAATAGGCCCCAAAACTGCTTCCGAGAAGCTCCCGAGAGCGCTCCGAAGAGACCGCCAGAAGCAGAGCAACGGTCCCATTTTTCTTGCGGAGACTGAATCTAGCGAAACTCTGGACTCGTCATGGCCAGAGGCTTTGAGCTTAAAGGCATGCCTTAAAACTCAATCTCCCCGAGGGTTGGGGGGGCGGGAGACCAAAAACAACTTGAGCGGAGAAAGGCAGCAGGGTGTTGGCGAGTGCACACCAGTGACAGGCAGCATATTCTATTTGCCCAACATCACACGTATGGCCCCTCTGCTCAACCCGTTCTAAAACCTCCAGAGCAACGGTCCCATTTTTCTTGCGGAGACTGAATCTAGCGAAACTCTGGACTCGTCATGGCCAGAGGCTTTGAGCTTAAAGGCATGCCTTAAAACTCAATCTCCCAAATCATCCCGAAGCTATCCAGGTAGGATGTTCGCTAGGGTGGGGAGAGAAAGGGTGGGAGTGACAAGCTCGCTTTTCAACAGTACTAGCTAAAAGGGTAGAGACCATTGCTCGTGCCAGACCAGGAGGGTACTCAGAAGCAATGCGGGTACGGCGGAGGCCGCCTGGCCCCCCGCCGCTGAGTTGCCAATGGGGTTTCCCAGTCTTAGAACATATACAGCCTTTTGGTCGGCATCGACGGGTGAGCTTAATTATATCTTCGTGATTCACGTGTGCACAGAGGAGCCGTGTGGGCTTCTTCCATCTTGCTCCATACTGACACTGGTCCAGTTCAGCCAGATAGACATGTCTATGGTGCGATAAGTCGCACACCTCAGCAGTATGCCACAGCCGGCTCGTCAAGGGATGTTCGAGGATTACGGGAACTCCCAGCTTCAAAAAGAATCTGAAGAGGGAAAGCGCAACCCGAGCGAGGCGGTTGCCTAATTCCACTGCTTCGGCATCGGCAGGCGTCAGCTCGGAGGCAGGGAAGCCCCATGGCTTCTCGCGGCTGCGCACCGGCCTCGACCTGTCGTGCGCGAGGGAAAAAGTCTGGCATGGGGGGGCCATTGCCGCGGCCACCAGCCGGCCAGCTCGAGCGTCAGATTTGATCGCCCGCAGCACGGCCGGCGACAACAAATCCTGCCACTCTGCATCATAGATGACGTCCCAGCTTCTCGCACGGAAGCCCTCGGCCTCGGCCGCCCGAGACACAGCTCGGCAGCCTGCGAAAAGATCGCCGAGGTACTGGCCCTTGCCGAGGCGCGAGCGGCGAAGGCGGCCACGGGAGCGGCCTCCTCGGTAGCCCAGGTGTAGCTGGCTCACTTGCGCCACATCTGCACGTTGTGGGGACGGTCCGTCAGGATGAGCGCCAGCTGCCTCTCTGCCTCCTCGCACGTCGCGCGCAGCCGGGGGTCGAGCTTTGCATAGTCGCTGCCGAGCCTGCTGCTGTGCTCGTAGCGGTGCATTGACTTCGCCTGCGTCCACTCCCCGCGTCGCTGAGCCGAGGTCAGACTGCGCCAGCCCTTCGCCAGGTCGATGCTGGCGCCCGAGTGTCTCATCTGGTACAATGTCACTGGGGCCACCCCGAGGTCCTCTGCCGCCTCCTTGAGCAGCGTCGCTGCCTCGGGGTAGCTGAAGTTCCACAGCGGCTCCTTCGACGTCGTCGAGGCCAGCCGCCCGAACACCTCGTCTAAGCCCTGGAGGTACGGCGAGTCCAGGGGGCAGCCCTCGTCGAAGTGCCCACGCTTGCTCGGCCTCTTCCGCTCCAGCGGGTGGGTCAACAGAGCCCAGTGCCGGCTGACACCAGGGGACGGAGGCACAAGGTCGCATCGCCGGGCGGCCAGCAAAGTCGAGGGCCGACCATAGATCGATACGCCTATCATCAAGAAGATGCCCAGGCGTAGGTGTCCTCGCTGCGCCAGCCTCCAGGCCAGCCCGCACCAGACTGGAAGGGCAAGGGCCTTCCGCCGCCTGCCCGGAGTCAGCCTGCGCCAGGCCTTCAGCGCCCGCCAGGTCCGCGGCAGCTTGCGACCTCCCACGCGCCCGAAGTCCGGGTTCGCGCTGACCCAGGCCGCGACCGTCTGGTCTCCGTAGTTGCTCTGCTCGCCCTGCAAGTATTTCTCGGTCATGTAATTGCACATGAGCTCGTCGATCTCCGTGTCCGGCTTCGCCAGGATCTCCCTCCGGCTCAGGCCGGCATGAGAGTAGAAACGATCGAGATATCGCTGGTACCTCACCTGCGTCGCCTGGGTCACCGCCAAGGTCTCCAGGAGGCTCACGCCCTCGCCCTGCGCCGCCAGGATAGCATCGGCGTACAGCTTCGCCCGCCGGTGCGCCCTCCGCGCGCGCAGCTGCCGCATTCGGGCCCGAGTCCGCCCCAGCTGCTCCACCACCGAGTCGGAGCCGCTGGAGCTGCTGTCGCCCTCGGCGTCCTCCCCGGCGTCTCCAGCGAGGTCCAGCCCGTTCGCGTCCCTCTCGTCGAGGGCCGAGAGATGCCGTCCAGCCTGGCTGGCCCTCTTCCTTGAAGGCAAGAAGGGGGCCGGCGCCAGCACCCGCGTCCGGCCCAGCGCCCCGGGGCTGGCGATCGCCCTCGCACCGCTCGGGTCCGAGCGCGAGCCCGCCTGCGCTGCCGCGCCTGCCAGCGCACGAGTCCGTGCGGCCGGCCGCCGAGCGCCTGCCCGCTGGGGGGGCGTCCGCGCCTGCGGCACCAGCTCGGCCAGCACCCGAGCCCTCTCGGGGGCCATGGCCTGCCGTCTCTGGCAAGTCGGGCGCCTCGGGAATCTCAGCCAAGAAAGAATGGTGTGGGCCAAAACGGCTACGGAGAGGATCCCGCGTATTGTCTTTCACAGGGACGGCTCTTGGAGGACGGGTGAGCAGATTCAGATCGGCCTGGAACTTCTCATCCAAGAGGGATGTGAGAATATTACTGTCACTCTCAGAAAAAACCCTGCTGCCTTCATCGCTTTCATTAAACTCCGAGGGGATCCATCGAATAGCGGGCGTAAGCCCCAACGCAATCGCATAGGCGTAGAATCGACGGATCTGAACCAGCAGGCTGAAGCGGGACGAACGAGCCCTGGAAAAGGATAGCACCACAGACATATTGTCGGACAGAAAGAGCTGTCGCACACAGACCCCGTGCGCGGTCTTTGCCAGCCGCTGGATCGATTTTACGAGGGCCCTGGCTTCAAGGATCAGGATGTCCTCAGCAAAACGCCAGACCCCGGACCGGACGGTCTCCCAGGCCCCCTTTCGGAGCCACTGCCAGGGCACTTCAGCGAACCCGGGGTCGAGCTCCCACGAGGACAGGGGGTCAGACGCAAGAGAGTCAGGATTCTTCATGTCCTCAAAACTGCACAGGGCGCCCGAGCTGTCCCGAGCAAGGTTGGCGGCAGCGAGCGCGCTCTCTCGCGCCGGTCTGCCCAGCGCCGAACGAAAACGGGCTCGCTCAGGCAGCCGGCCAACCTGCTCCACCACGTGCTGCGGCCAGAACGACTGCGCCATGCCCCAGCCGCTCTCGCTCGCGTCGGTCTGGAGCACGCAGCAGTTCCATGGCCGCCACCAGTCCTGAACCATCAGGGTGAGCAGCCCGCGGAACATCCTGATCTCCTTCACGACTTCTGCCCACAGCCGGGCGGGCTCCAGGTAGTGCCGCTGGATGAAGCGGTACGAGGCGTGCCAGCAACTCAGAGACCCTCGGAGGGCCAGCCCGCAGAAGGTGCAGTGGCCCAGCACCACCTCCAAGGCGCGCCCTGTCGCTCGGCCGCGGGCTAGCAGGCCCCCCAGTCCCAGGTACACCTTCCAGAACCGTCCGTCGCTCACGCCCGACCTCATCAGCTCGAGGTCAAGCTTGGTCCCGAGCGCCTCGCACGCGCCCGAGCCCACCGAGCTCTTGTGCAAGTCAAGGCCGACCCCCTCGAAGAGACCAGTCCAGCTCTCGAGGGCGCTCTTGGCGAGGCCCTCCGAGGGGGCGAGCACCCCCATGTTGTCGACGTACACGTAGGCACCCCCGTGCAGCCCGGGCTCAACCTCCACGACGAGCGGCGGTCCGCGATCACTCATCAGGACCCGCTCCGAGACTGCCATGTCTCCCCCTGGCCACGGATCAGACCGGACGACCCTCTCCTCGTTCGCGTCTTGGGCGAGGAAAAGGGACCAAGAGAATCCCATGGGGAGAGCCCCGATGCAGGGGAAGACGAGGGTGTCGCAGCCCAGCCTCGTCCCCTCCAGCTCGTGCCCCTCCAGGCCCAGGACGTGAGCCGGGGCGGCGGGCAGCGAGAAGAACTTCGCCAGGCTCACCGGGATGCGCATCCTGTAGAAGCAGTCCTTGACGTCCGTCATGCCCAAGAAGAGCTTGAAGCCGTTCAGCAGCTCCTCTCCCCGCGCCGAGCCGAAGGCGACGCCCTCTGGGAGCTTCACCTCCACCCTGCCGAACCCCTCGCACGACAGGAGCTGGACGCTGGGGGGCACGCCGAACCAAGCGTTCGCCCGGCGCGCATCCACGATCATGCGCATCTTGTCGCTGTCGGCCTTCTTCACGAAGAACAGGCCAGCCTGCTCTGCGGGAGACAAGGTGGCGAGCAAGAGCCCGCGGGACGAGAGATCCTTCAAAAAGTTGTGGTACATCTTCTTGTTCCGCTTCAGCAGCGGGTCAAAATAGGGAGTCGGCAAGCTGTCAAAATCGATCTCCTCGATCGGCCGCCTCATACGCTTTTGATTCTCCTTCAGGTAGGTGCGGCCGGCCTCGCCCACGATATCGTCCACCTGGAGGCAGCCGACAACCGAAGGGGGCAAGGACACGCGCTCGCGGACGAAGGAGGCCAGGTTCCTCGGGGAGCCCGACGTGTCGTAGATCGAGCACCCCTTGAGCAACGCACTGAGCGATGCCTCTTGGGACGGACAGGGGTGGGAGCTGCGGCTTGGCGCCGAAGAGCTTCGCTGGCCACCCACTGCACGATCCCAGCATGCTTGCCCCCCATGGTGTCCAGGGAGCGCGGCGGGCCCACGTCGTCAGGCTCCCATCCAGCAAGCCAGTTGAGAGAGTCGATCGCGCCGTTCACCAATTCGTGCTCGCGCCGCCGCCGAGCGCCAGCAATCCGGGCGCGGCTGCCGCCCCTGCTGGCGGGCGGCCTGGCCAGGCGAGGGAGGGGGAAGAGGTCCCTATCCCCGCTCGCCAGGGCCAGCGGCGCTCGCCGGGCCGATGTGTTAGCCCAGCCGGCAGGGGCCCACTCCGCCGGCTGAGACTGGTCCGTCATGCCTGCACGGGCGGCGCGAGGGCTCGCGCCCGGGTCTTGTTACCCCGGCCGCCCCCGCCGCCGCCCTTGCCACCCTTGGCCGAGTCATCGGCCCCCTCGCGCGGCGGAACCCGCGCGCCAGCCGACCCAGCAGCAACCGCCTCGGCCTTCCTGTCGCCCTGCATCAGCTCGTACTCCTCCTTGGCGCGCCTCGACACGTGAGACCGCAAGCCAGGAGCCATCAACTGGTCCACGTCGGTCAGCGGCGAGAGGTACTTCGCGTTCGAGTACGAGGCCGGCCCGCTCTTGTGCGCGTCCACCAGCAGGTTCAGCCGGAGGGCGGCCACTTCCAAGCAGGCCAGTCCTCCGAGATTGATCTGGTCAAACTCGCCTGCTTCCTCCAGGATGTCGCACAACACTCGGAGTTCGTGCGCAACTCGATCCGTAGAAGCTATCCCCTTTTCCCTGAGAAAGCGCTCCAGCCATGCGCGCGGGGACCCACTCAAGTTCACCATCATCTTGCACGTGTGGAGGCAGGTGCGGTCGGCGGGCAGCCTGTGATGGTCCCACTTCACATCCGAGCTCTCAGCCACCGCCCGCTTGAACTCCTTCCTGCGTTCGCCCTGCTCGTCCCAGTCGACCCACAGCGTGCGCGCGTCGCCGCTGGCGTCGTCCTTCCCTGCGGCCGACTCGGCGGGCTCCTCCGCGGTCAGCCCCAGCTTCTCGCCTAGGCGGTCGCCTCCAGACGAGCGAGCCTCGCGCAGCGGAGGGGTCTCAGTCCCGCCGACCGGCTCGGCGGCGCCCATGGCGTCGGGCTCCGCGCCGAGGTCGAGCAGCAGCTCCTTCGTCCTCTTGGCAGCCCACTCGACGATCTGGCCCTCGTCCACCTGCTCGAGCCTCGCCCAGCGGCCGCAGCTCGGGAACAGGCTGAGGGCCCGGCTCCCGTCGCGCAGCGCCCCCACCGGGAGCGGATCCACCACGGTCCCGATGGGCATGCCAGGGAGCGGCTCCGTCAGCACCCACGGGCGCGGGGCCACCAGCCACGGGAAGTAGTCGTAGCCGGGGCGCACCGCCCCGTCGGCCAGCACCACTCTCGTCGGCCCCTCCGCCTCGGCCTGCCCACGTCTGAGCATAGTGGCCCGACACTCCGCCGCCAGCTCCACAACCTCGTCCAGGCTGGGCCGCGCACGGAACCGATAGAGGCGGCGGCCGTCGGGCGGGTTCCCCGTCGCCTGGTCCAGCAGCGACCCGCCCGACGGCCCAGTCGCTGCATTCCTCCCGCTCAGGTCCTCCTCCCAGACGTCGCCGTCCGCGGAGAGCACCCAGTAGGCGTGTCGCCCTCGGACTCGTCGCCTCTGGTCCATGCGGCGGCTGGGCCACAGCACGACCCTCGTGTGGTCCATGGTCTCCCCGGCGTAGGAGACCCGGACCAGCGTGCCGACCGCCAAGTCAGCGCACCACTCCCCCTCCGCGGCGAGCGGGGGCAGGGGACGGTGCGCGATCATCATCTATCTCGGCGTCAGCAGCACGCCCGCGGCGCGGGGCGGCGCGGCCGAGCCCCAGCCCAGCCGCGATCCCAGCGAGAGTCCCCCAGCACGCCGAGGGTGAGTCGAACTCGCCGGCTCCCACGATTCCCCCTGCAGACGGGCAGGAGAGGTTGACCAGCGGCGCCGGGCACACTGGAGGAGGGCAGGGCGGCGGCGCGCACGTCAGCGCCGGGCAGACCTGCGGCGGGCAGGTCAGGTTCGCCAGCGGGCACGCCAGCGACACTGCCGGGCACGGCGGCACCCCCGAGATGATCGACTGCCGCAGCGCCAGCAGTTCCAGAGCACGTATCCCAGCGGTCTGGAGGTGACTGATGAGGGCCGCCGGGGGGCCCATCAGGCCTGCTTCAGACCAAAAACAACTTGAGCGGAGAAAGGCAGCAGGGTGTTGGCGAGTGCACACCAGTGACAGGCAGCATATTCTATTTGCCCAACATCACACGTATGGCCCCTCTGCTCAACCCGTTCTAAAACCTCCATCCCTGAGGACTCTAACCCACGTCAGCGTAGTCGTCGTCGCCACCGTCGTCGTCGCCCCCCTTCAGGGTCGGAGGCACCGGCCGTAAGGCCTTCGCAATAAACCTCCAAGACGGGCTATAGTGCCCCAGCAGGGCCCCACGACGGCCCAGACAGGCCCCGCGATGGCCTCCGAAAGGGCCGACGGGCCAAGAGAGCCCCAAGATGACCCAAGCAGAGGAACCCAGGGGCCTCTGGGAGGCCCCTGCGAGGACCCCAGGAGGCCCCTCGGAGGCCCACAAGAAACCCCAAAGAAGCCACCAAGAGGCCCCAAGAGGTCCCCACGAGGCCTCATCCACATCCCCATTCTCCTCCCACTCCACATCCTCTCTCTCTCTCTTTCTCTCTCTCTCTCTCTCCCTCTCTCTTTCTATCACTTCGTGTTCGCCCAAGGGTTTCCTCAACGGCCAGGGAAACACATCGTTCACTACCTGTTGGCTATACTCAGGCCCAACGTTTGGACACAAAGGCAGTTCCAGAAGGCATAGGGTGGCGATAGTTCCCCGCAAGCATCTTCGATGAGGCAAACCTAACTAGGGAGCCACCGGGCTAAGTCAGGGGTGGGTGCCACTGGGCCCAGTGAGCAGGAAGCAGGACAAGCATGTCCAGAGCACATGGGCTCGACGACCGATCCACCCTCAGACTCATCCTTGCGGTCGATTTCGACTGTAGCTAGCCCACGCTCGGAGGGCCAACGGAGACAACGGCGACTCTCCCATCCGGCCCAAACATGCGCTCAACATTGCCCCCCAGACCGGCCTCCCGGGGTCCATCTGCAGCGACTAAACGCGGCAAGGAAAAACTCGGTCAGGTTGAGCTCGGCCGGCTGAGCTCGATCAAGCTAAGCTCGGCCAACTGCTCTCGGCCAGGCTGAACCCGACCAAGCCCGGGTCGAAATCAGCCTGGCCGAGTTTCACCTGGTCGAGTCTTTCCCCATGTTCATCCTGACCCTGCAATTCGACGAGGCGGATCCAGCCGTGCTGACGAGAGGCCTCTGCAGGAGGCCAACAGAGGACGCGCAAACCGCCAGTGATGGCCGTCGCTGGGGCTCGGGCTCGGGCTGGGGCTCGGACTCGGGGTGGCGCAAGTCAGTCTTGGACGCGCCGCCGGCCCCTGCCCGGCCCCGGCCCCGGCCCCGGCCAGGGCCTCGGCCTGGCCTCGGCCTGCCCCCCCTCCGCTCCTCCACCCCTTCCCGGGCGGCCTCCGAGCTAAGCACCTGGCTGTCGTCCTCGTAGCGCTTGCACTGCGACTCGGCGCGTCCGCGCCGCCCACTCCCCCCACCCCTCTGGCGGGACAGGGGGGCGATTAGCTCAGGGGGGAGGGGGGGGAAACACCGACCAGGAATCGGCGATGCCTCGCCATTAGATCGGCGATGAGCCCCCGATAACACATCCGCACGCTCTCCCCCACCTCCTTCAAAGAGGCAACGTTAGGGAGGGGTCAGCTCAGGCCCCTAACGTTGCTCTTGGCTCAAGAAGGGCACCTCCCTGAGTCCACAGTGGCTCTGATCTCAATCTCCTCGGCTGCATCGCGGACCCCCAGAGGCCTATACAATTTCCCCGAGACGGGCACCTAACGTTGCACCTGTCTACCCCCCCTAGCATTGCACCTGACTGCCCTCCTCGCAGCCGGGCGCCTCGCCAGAAAAAGCCTACCAGTGCACGAGACTGCACAACCGCACGTCGGCGGAGGGGCTGAATACCCAGACGTGCTCGCATCGTTCGAGTAGGAGATCGACAACATAATTCATTTACCCTCAAATTATTGTTGTCGAACCTACGAGAAAGACGTAGACTGATCGTCGATCTTGAGCCAGTATTTTTACTTTTCGTGTACTCGACGTACAAAGAATTCGGTACAACTCTGTTCTGTAGTCGGTATCCGCTTCGATTCATGAGGAAAACAGCGGGCGGTTTGGACGGCGTCTGGCCTACGGGGGACCTCGCTGGGCTCCAGGACCATCCAAAAACGGCTTGGGATGAACAAACACGCCACTGCGGGCCAAGACTTCTGGGGAGCCCGCATAGAAAGAAAAGCAAGACGTCGGATGTCTGGGGCTCAGCAGGCGTGAGCCTTCGGAGCTCCGCGGGGATTTCTTGGGTCCATGCTGGGCCCCCTGCCCCTGATTGCCTGGGGGATAAGCGATAAGTGGCCCCAACCATTGGGGATAAGGGTGTCTTGCCCGCAGTTGATCAAACCAACCACCCAACATTACTATGCCTAATGCAAGCACGGGGACCTCAGTGGGGCCGCGTCACCATCGTGTTATGAGGGTTCGGGGCATTTTACCCTCGATGACTGTGTACTTCTCGCCTCACGTCCTTGGATGAGTGGGTCGGGGTACACGTCGTTCATTTCTAATCGTGCTCGTTTCTAACTGTGCTCGTTCCTACCTGTTCCTGGCCCCCTAGTGGCCAGGAAGAGGCCCAGGGTAGAACAACTAGAAATGAAAGGACCTTGTTTCCTCCAGAAAAATCAAAGAGCTTCCGAAGAGTTAGAGATGAACAATGCATATTGTATGGCGCCCGCCTGGCGCCCGCCCTCGGACGCCTCGTGGGGCGTCCCGTGCGCCCAGCTGGTGCGGCGGGGTCTCGCCCGACGTGGGGTCGGTGCTCGCCCGTGGGCGCCCCGTGGGCGCCGGGTGCCTGCCCGGTGCCCGCGCACTGGGCGTCTCGCGCTGGCCACCCGGCAGCGTGCACCTCACGGGCTGCACCGCACAGCTCGCAGGACATCGCTTCCACAGCACAGCTCGAACCACATGTTACGCCACGCTGCCTGCGCCTCACAGAGATTGCCCCTGGCTGCTTGCAGCACCCTGCATACACCGCACAGATGGCACATCCTGGCTTGCACCACGTAGCTTGCACCAAAGGAATCCAAATGGCTCGCACCGCACACCACATAGCTTACACCACAAAGCTTGACCCACCTATACTGGACCACACATTTTGTGGTCGCGCATAGCTTGCACAACACGGCTCGCGCCACTTAGATTGCACAACATCACTTACACCACCTACCTGACGGCGCAGACTCGGCAACACACGCTCACACCAGAGCATCGAGAGCACAATGCGCCGAAACGGCGTGTGAGACAATTGGCTGTACCCCTCCCCCTTTTCCCCTCCCCCAGGGTCCAAAATCCGGCCCCCCCCCCCCCGTGGGGGTGGGGGGCACGAGCTCGTCAACGCCGCCCCCGGGGCCACCAGAGCCTCCAAAGAGCCCCAAGTCAGCTCAAGATGGCCCACACAGAGCGCCAAGACGATCCAAGAGAACGTCGAGGTGGCCTATGGTAGCTCGACAACGGTCCAATATTCCTTCGAGACTGCTCACGAGGCTTCCAAGACGGCCCAAGAGTGCTTCCACAGAGGACCACCGGTCCGGAGACGCAAAAACAACCAGTCTTGTAAGGAAGACTTGCATTTTGGGTACACTCGCATTCTTTGTCTTGGCAATGTCCAAGACGACCAAAGGGGCCCCAAGATCGTCTCATGACGGGTCATAAGGCCCCTACCCTCAAGAGGGCCCCAAGAAGGCCCAGGAAGATCCCAAGACGGCCCCAGGGGACCCCAAGACGGCCTGGAGAGGCCCACGACGGCCCCAACAGAGGCCTAAGAGGTCGAATACGAACTGACATATCGAGCCTTTCCCCCCAAGATGGCCCCAAGAGCCCCCCAGAGGCTCCCGAGGCGCCCCCAAGGGGCCCCACGAGGTCTCCAAGAGGTCCCCAAGAAACCCCCAAGAGCCCCCCAAGAAGCCCCCCCACAGCTCCCCAGATGTCACAAAGAGCCCTCCAAGATGCACCTGAGAAGCATCCCAAGGGACCCTCAACTATCCTCACATGCATTCACGAGGCTCCTGACCCCCCGAAATGACTCCCACGACCGCCACAAGCTCTCGCTCTTTCCAGGGGCGGCGGATTGGCGTAAGCCACTTGAACAAACTACTTGTGGGGTCCACGCAGGCAAACAATGTGTGTTCCATCTCACTCGGCGGAGAGCTTGGGTACCTGTTTTGACCAACCCGAGCTCCCCAAGCCGCCTACCGTTGCAATCACCCAGTCGAAATGAGAATCGCTGGGGCACCACCTGGGAAGGTCGAGGGCTGTGGCTGCACCGTCAAACGATGGGGCATCGGACGAGGTCAAGACATGATTAGAAGGCAACTACTGGGAGGCTTTCGTCGTAAGGATTAAGGAGGATTAAACCCCACTAGGGGGCTGTTACGCTGGAGTGGGCCTCGGATTACGCCGGATTAAGCGGGATTAAGCCGGCTTCAGCCCGATTAAACGGAGTTAAACGGGATTAAACCGAATTTCGGACCAGGGCAAAATCAGAATTTGACCTCCCAGGCTTTGCATCCGAAACATGATGAGAAATTGAGCCAGGCACCACCAGCGTAAAAACATGCAAGAAGGCTTCTGCCTGGGCCCTGGCCTGCGCGATCAATGCTAATGCCGGCCCTCCCGGGCATCTGGATCGCAGCCTTCGGCGTCGAACCGATGTCGACTCGACACATAATTGAAACATCGCTCGCGATGTACCGTCAAGCCTTTGAACAGACGACACGTCCTGAGGCCAACGCTCAGCAACAACACACGCAACAACACAAACAGCAAGAGCCACATCTCCGCCACCGTGCCGCATGTACCGCGTGAAGTGTCCTCGGGTCCCTTCGACCTTCCTTTTGTGAATCATGCAGATCTTCCCTTCCAGGGACCCAGACCCCCCAATTCCGGGCGCTTTCGGGCGCCTCTGGGCGCTCGCGGAGCTTCTCGCGTGGCACTCCTGGCGGCCTCAGGAGCGTGGTCCGGATGCCACACTTTCAAGATGGTCTCAGATGTTGTCCCTCGTGTGGGCCTTGTCGGTCGTCTTGGATGCCCTGCGGGCTGGCCCGCGTAGAAGAAATCATTGAACAGAGCAAATGTTTGCGTGAGGTTCTCGCATGTTCGCATTTCTAGTCTGAGGATTGCTCAAGGCGGCCCGCGGGGCCTCGAAGATCACACCAAGACGGCCCCCCCAGGTAACCAAGAAAGCCTGACGGGCCCCAAAGACGATCCCAAAAAGGGAAACACGAACTGACATTCCGCGAGCCCCGTCCTCCAAGATGGCCCCAGGGACCGCCAGCCGTCCCCCAAGAGGCCCTCGTGAGGCCTCCAAGGGACATCCAAGAGGCATCCCACGAGCCCCCAAGAGCCTTCTAATGTTAATCTTGCCCACACCCTAAACACGGTGGCGGGAAAGGCCGACGTAAGAACATAGCAATTGAATGCAGCAACTGGCCAACAAGTTATTAAACCACAGTGCGACTGAGAAACGCATCCCCTGTGTATGGGCCAGGTGATGCACCAAGTGTGGGGGACGACGGCTATTAGAGAACATCGAGAACACGCACCACTTGTGAGCGCAGGAACATGGGCGTGGCAATCGCAGCAACAACATTCGAGGCAGGTCGTCCTTACTTCCTCGTGCGTCACTCAGCATGTACTCCCGCACCGTCGATGCCAGCCCTCTCCGTCGTGGCTCGCACGTCCTTCTGGGGGGGTCTCCGCCCCTTGCCCGCGATGGAGACCTGGGGCGGACCTGGTCGGCGGGCGGGAGGGCGGGCGGACCCCGCTGCGGGCGCTAGCCTGAAGAGGGCGCGCGGGCGGACCGTCCGTCGGCGTCGTCCGTCGGCGTTGCCCGTCGGCGCCGCCCGTCGGCCTCGTCTCGCCCTGCCCGTCGACGGCGGGCCGTCGGCGACGGCCCGTCGGCGCGGCACCGTCGCGATGCCGTCCTGGGCGAGCCCGCGGAAGAGTTGGGAAGGCGGACCTGGGCCTGGCGGCGGCCTTCTTCCCAGGGGCAAGCCTTGGGTAGGCCTAGGGGAGGCCCAGAAGGCCCAGCGAAGACCTTCGTTCAGTACGCGTCGTTCATTTCTAATCGCGCTCATTTCTAATTGTGCTCGTTTCTGTATAATTGTTCCTGGCCCCCTAGTGGCCAGGAAGTGGCACAGGATAGAACAGTTAGAAATGAGAGGATCCTGGGCCCCCCCCAAAACCAAAGAACTCTCGAAGAATTATACGTGAACAATGTGTGGGCCCAGGTGGGCGCCCAGGGAAGGCCCTCTCCCCCCCCCAGGCTCTCCAGGTCCTGGGAGCCGCCGGCCGAGCCGAGCCGCCCCCCCTCGCGGCCGAGGCCGCGCCTCCAGGCTCTCCCGGCGGCCCACGCGCGTCTCCGCCGCGTCGACCTGCCCCAGCAGCTCCGCGGCTGTAGCCAGCAGTTGCCGCCGGTCGGCGTCGGCGGTCTGGGCGGCGCGCGCCAGCGCGCGGCGCCACGTCGTCGTGCGCGGTTTCGGGGGCAGAGGGGGAGGGGCCCCAGATGCGGCGAGGGCATGGGATGAGGAAGCCTTCGAATCGGATCCAATCCAAATCGGATCCGCAGTGGGCTTACATAGAAGCTACGACGGCCTCACGTCAGACTTGCGTCAGAACATCGCCCCACGAACGTCGTCCCATATCTGACGGGGCGGACGTGCGGACTAGAACGTGCAACTATTGCGCGCCGCGCGAGGCCTACAAAATGTTCCTCGGACGGTGAGGGCAAAGGATAAGGAACAATTGGATAAGGAATGCGGGGTGCGCAAGCTGGTAGGACACCCAATTAGGCTTGGCCGTGGACACCACCGCCGCCCTATCAGAAAAGGTCTTTCCAGGGTCTGAAGCCTCCTGGGCACACTCCTGCACGAACACCCCCACCGTGTGTAATGTCTTGAAAAAATCGGGACGGAAGTGGTTCACAGTTTACGGCCTCTGGGGGGCCACCGCCGTACCCCGTGACGGTAGCAAAAGCGGCGCGGGGGGAAAACGGTCCCCTGGGGAAGGGGTCGGGACTTCTGGAGACCCCGTCTTAAGCAGAATCAAGACATCGGATGTATGGGGGGAAGGGACATTGAGAGGAAGAGGGGAAGCGAGGCAAAGCGAAGCGAAACCAAGTGAAACGAACGCCAGAGTCGTGCGCGCTCCGCCAGGGAGCCCACCAGTGCCCGCTACAGGGGATGCCCTGGAACCCGTGGCCTTTGAACTGCGATACGTGCGCGAACTCACATGGCACGGTCCGAAACTTCTGATCAGGCTGTCGCGGTGGCGGCCCGGCGGCCCCGCGACACGCCATGCCCTGCCAAGCGGATAGCGTGTCGCTCCGCTTCGCAGGGCGGGAGGCTCGGAAAGGCTCGGGACGTGGACAACATGCCGCACCGAAGCACGGTCGGTCTGAGCCGGCGGAGCAACACGCTGAGCCAAAATTACTGACCGTAACCACGATTCGGAAAGAACGTTGATGCCGATCTTGTCCATTGAGCCGTTGAAGTCGGCGAGGGGGAGGGCGAGAGGAGGGGAGATGGTTTCGGAGGGCTTGGGAGGTGCTCGGATGGTCTCGGGGTGTGCTTCTCGCTGCTGGGTTTGGAGTGAATGTCCCGGAAGTCCTCGGACGCTTCCGGAGGCTCTAAGGGGAGTGTGCCTCGGGGGGTCCCAGAAGACTTCGGAATCCAGTTGGTCCCTTCTGCGAGACAGTCTTCTTGTTCGGCGCTGTTTGCGAGAGACGGAGGAAGAGGCAGGAGGGAGACAGCGCAAACGACGGACGGTAGTCTAACTCGAAGCGTGGAAGCTATGGGTCGAAGATGGCCCTTTCAGGCCTCCAACACTGCACCAAGCCAGCTGGTTCCATGCCGGGGCAACACGCGCCCACAACTGGCCCAGGAGACACGCCAGGATGGCCCAAACGCCTCCCCAAAACAGCTCCAAGACATCCCAAAAAGGCACGCCAGGATGGCCCCAATAGATCCCTGGACGGCCGCCAGAGGTCAGATCGGCCCCGAGATCGCCCACGGAACGCCAGGATTGCCCCCAAAGCCCCGAGAGAACCCCAAGAGAACCCAAGAAGGGCCCAGGACGGCCAGAACAGGGCGCACGCGCACTGAATGTTCGGACGCACGCGCGTCCAAGCGATATCCCCTAAACTCTTCCTGATGCGGGCCCGCCGTGGATTCCGCCCTGCGGGCGCAAGAAGCCCCTGCCGTCCACAACACGAACTTCCCACACTACTGGGAGCGGTTTGGAGCCGAAGCACCGCGTTTCATCTTTGGGCCTCGCGTTTGCTCTTTCGCGCTCTGTTCTGGGCAAGGCCGCGTGTGGGCTCGAAGCCAAAGCGCGAAAATCTCGGCTGCCCGCTGGCGCCCCTTCCGCGACTTTGCGCGGCAAGGGCAGGAGCCAGAGTGCGGGCAGACGACCTGCGGAAACCCGAGACGGATGGGACTCAAATGCTGGAAGAACAACAATAGGCCCAAGCGTAAACCGTCCAAGGTCCAGGCGGATTTCTTGGGTCCCCGATGTGCCAAGACGATAGCAAGGATGACGGTGAAGTCGGACTCACGAACACCGGACATATGCGTATCCACGCCCTCGCGGTCTGGATTCCAACGCGCGACCCAGTGGATACGCGATCGCATGGATACGTTCCGCACAGGGCATCTGCGAAAAAGAACCCCGTACCCACGGAATCGTTGCCCAGGGACCTGGTCCGCGAAGCCGTGGATACGATTATGGTTTCCACCCGCGACGGATGAGGATACCTCTCGGAGCTACTGGGTCTGAAAAATGTATCGGGCGCCGTAGCCGTTTCAGAGCGCCTGGAACGCTCTGAGAGCGTTCCAGAACGCTCTGGAGCGATGTATCTTCATTCTTTGGCCTGCCTGTTGTAATTCCGGACGCTTCGCGCGCCAAAAATGGCGGGTCCACTGCCGATCCAACAAACCCGCGCGGATCTCCAGGAGTTTACATTCGGGCAATGGTCTGTCACTCTTGACGCGAGCGCAGATCTCGAAGAGCGTCTGCAATAGCCGAAAGCGCCAACACGAGGACCCGTTCGAGCATCGTGAGCACGGCTGGCGGGCTCCTGGGAAGGGGCCCGATGCATACACCGCGTCGTTTGGTCGGCCCAAGGAGCTCGGTGTACGGACGTCCCAACTGCTCAACCAGTGGGACGCTGGAGCGCGTATACACCACATGTCTGCGCCGAATCAATTGGCTCCTTGGTCGACCGAGCGACGTGGTGTGCCTATACATCCAGCCCCTCCGAACTCAGCGGACGACGTGGCCCTGCACGATGCCATTCGCGAGTGGCTGGCCGATGGTCTGCTGCTGTGGCTTCCCGTAGCCCGGCTGGCCGCCGTAGGCGCTGTACCCGACGGCGCCCCCCGCCCCTCCGCCGACGGCCGCGCCAGCGGCCATCGCCATCCCCGCTCCGCCCTGCGAGATCATGTGCTGCTGATTCGGGGCGAGCATGCACTTGATGGCCGGGTTGACGCCAGTGAAGCCCGTGCTCCTCACGTGCTCGAGCTCGTGCTGCTGCTGGGCCAGCATGCAGCCGTTCACGCTCATGACCATGCAGTCGACCACGTTCTCGACCTCCTGGGGGACGTCGAAGCCGACGCACTGGACGAGGCACACGGCCCAGGAGGCCAGGCACACGGTCCACAAGATGCAGTCGTCGCAGCAGGTGTTCTCCCTGTCGAATCGGGTCTGGATGAGGAAGCGGTTGGCGGAGATCGCGCAGCTGGTGCAGCAGAATGCCTCGGCGTAGATCCATCCTTCCCCCCTTCTCCACCTGCTCCCCATTTCCTGGCCCAATCCCCTCATCTCCCTCCCATCGTTTTTGTTCGTTGATCCTCCGCCATCCCGCTTTCTCACGCATCTGGAAAGATCCTTCCTCCCTCCTCCCTCCTCCCGCCTTTCCCCCCCCTCCTCTGTCTCATGCTGCCCCCATGTTCCTCAGCAGTCCTCCTGATCTCTGATCCTCCATCTGTCACCTTTCCTTTCTTTGTCATCCTCTCTCCTCCCCCCCCCCTCTCTCTCATCACCCTTCCCCACTCCAACTCTCTCCTCCCCCCTCCTCCCGCCTCCCTCCTCCTTTCAACTACCTGCCCCCTGTTCCCTGCTCCCTCCTCCCTGCTTTTCGCTCCCTGCTTCGGGCTCCCTGCTCTTTCATCCCATCTCTGTGCTCCATCCTCCCAGCACCCATCCTCCCCCGTCGCTCCGCAGTCCTCCGTCCCCGCACTCCATCCACTCCCTCAAATCTCCAACCCACTTCCTTCTCCTGCCTCACACTCCTCCCCCTCCCTCCTCCTTCTCTTTCTCCACCTTTTCCTTCACCGTCTCCTCTACCCCACAGGCTCCTCCGTTCCAAACGTTACCAAGCAACTCCTTCTGGTCGCACCAAGTGGGCCGATTGGTCAAGCTCGCGCATTCGCAAGCTTATCCTCACAACGCCCGCCACAGAGCCGCGAGACATGATGCGGAGTGCCCTCGGGCCCCTGAGAGGCCGAGAAGCCCGAGTTGCAGGCGCTGCCGGGCATGCTCGGGCACTTCCTGGCCTTGTCGCGTGGCCTTTACGCGACTTCGGGACCACGGCTCGGAATCCAAAGTGTCAGCTTGCCTTCGGATGGCCCCGGCCTCCTGGGGCGTCCTGGGGCGTCCTGGAGCCCCAAGGCCGGCCCGGGAGGCAGGAGGCGGGAGGCGGGATGCGCTGCGGGGGGGCGCCCCGCGCCCGTGCCCGAGTAAGGCGTCGGGCTGACCTCGTCCTCGTGGAAAACTCCTCTTGCCAGCGCTTGCGCGGGCGCCCGGTCAGACGGACACCATCAGGGCTTCAGTCGGCCACTCTCTTCGACCATCGTCTGTCGCCGCACTGGTCGATCTTGTCCAACAACCCGTTCTTCCAGATCCGTCGCTGCTCTACCAAACCAGGGATGCCGAACTCCTGAAATGCATGTTCGGCTCTACGCGTGGCACGTCGGATCCAATCTGCCCAAGACTCGGTATCCACGCTTCCGTCTGCCGCTTGGTCCTGGGGCCAGCACAAGCGGCCCCAAAAAACGAAACAGCATACATTACAAGTTGCTTGTGAGTTCTAGGATTCTCTCACACTCGCTTTTTCGGTCGTGAGAGCGTCCAAGACGGCTGGAGGCCTCCAAGACCGCCTCACGACGGGCTCAAGGCCGAAGAGGGACCTACAAGGCCCAAGAAGAAGGCCCCAAGAGGTGCACAAGAAAGACGATCTCGAAAGGGCCGGTGAGGCCCCCAAAGTTGCTTCCGAGACGGCCCCTGAGCTCTAAGCGCTCGAGAGGCGCGCGGGAGGCCTCCAAGGCGACCCGGGAGGAACCGAAAGAGGCCACCTGGCCTTCCAAGATGGACCAATCGACCATTCCTAGAGGCCTCGCGCCCACGGCTTCGGCAAGGTGACGGGATGGTCTGAAGGCCACCAGATGCGATGCTGCAGTCTGAGCTCACAATTCCCACCAGATGCACGCAGAGAGAGCGAACCGTCGTCAAGATCAGGCACGCGCTGGCGTCGAAAACCAAAGTTCTGGAATCGAACAAACTCGGCGGCCTTCGTCGCTCCAGTCCTACCCGCGCCACCTCCTGCGCTAGGGACGTCGGAGCTGGACCCTACCAGCTATCCACCGGCCAACCCGCGACACCTCCGCACACCGCAAAGCGAACCCAGCACTCCTGTGAAAATGCGGTCCGCCTCCTCCTCCTCCTCCTTCGCCTTCATTTCCTTACACAAGAGGCGAGGAGAGTAGGTCCATCACTCAAACGGCAACAGGGTCCTGGAAAGGGGCAGCCCTCGGTGGCAGGGCCCAGCGGGTATGAGCTGCTCCTCCTCCTCCTCCTCCTCCTCCTCCTCCTCCTCTTCCTCCTCCTCTTCATCATAATCCGCATCGCTTTTCTATCAGGATGCGTTTCCCGGTGCCTCCCGGGCACCGTCCTGGCCAGCTTCTCGAGCTGCGTCCGTGGCCATGATAGCCTCCCCTCCAGGCAGCCCAAATCGGCTCAAAAACGTCCAAATCCTTCCTCCTCCTTCAACGTCCTCCGTCAACCTCCACCTCCGTCCTCCCTGCCCTCCCCCTCCACCTTCTCCTCAACCCGCCCACGGGTACCCAGCAAGACGTGATGCTCCATGGGCGCTCGTGGCAGCGCATACGAGACGATTGAGTCCTCCCACTCCTCCGCGCGCGGGAACCCGACGACAACAACGACGACGATGACGTCGACGTCGACGACGACGTCGACGACGTCGATCACGACGACGATCCCGACGGCGATCCCGACGACGCCATCGACGACGACGTCGTTGTTGGCGGCGTGGCCCGCCTCGGCCCACATGCAGTTCTGGTCCTGCGGCTCGCTTAGGGGGCCGCAGGGGAACATGCCGCCGCAGCACACGTACGGCTCGCCTGGCCCCCGCCCCCTGCTGGAATCACAGCGTGTGTATACTGCAATAAACCTTGCGTGAAATCTAGGGGTACGTTCTTCGTTGATCCCTGGACTTCCTAAGGTGTTCTAAGACTCCTGTGGGTCCCCGCGGCCGTCGTGGGACAAGGAACTTCCGTAGGGGTCACCTGCTGGCAGGCCGGTTTCTCACTTGACATGCCTACGCCTGCAACGCAGGTGGAAGCAACAGCAGAGAAAGCTGGAAGACATCAGGCCAACAGCTGAGGCAACTGGGGCGAGCCCCTCGATTGCCCTCGACGTGGCAGGAACGCTCATCCTCTCGCGCTCTCGACCCCCCCCACTGTTGGAGGAGGGAGAAGAATCACCAGCGCAACTGGCGGGGGGGCACCTCCGGCGCGCAGATCCACGTGCGAACCCACTTCCCCCAAGCTGGCGACTGGAGATGTCCCGGGCAGGGGCGGCGAGAGGGGAGGGGGGAGAGCACCACCAGGAGGACAACCCCCTGCATCCTCCTGTTGGCGGTGGCGGTGGTGCCGGCTCTCCTTGCTCCCATCCCATCGCCACTCGCCCTCTCTTAAGGGGGAGGAGGAGAAGGAGAAGGAGAAGGAGAAGGAGAAGGAGGAGGAGGAGGAGCTATGAAGCTAAGGGCTAAACGACGCCGAATGTCGAGAGCGGAAAAAATTAGCGCTGCAACTCGACGAGGGCAGCAGCTTGGACCGACTTCGGCGGCCAGCTCGGGTGGGGGCAGTCGCCCTTCCAAATGCGTGCTAGATTCTGCAGCCCCTTGGCTGCGGGAAGATCACACGCTGAAATTAGGTGCCTCCAGTCGGTCGTGGCTGTACGACCGCACCTGGAACGATAAATTATGTTGTGTAGCCCCCGGTGCTGTACGCTATGTGAGCCGTCCAAAACCTTGCCCCCCCAGCACGCTCCAGCCGACGAGGGGAGCAACACCGAGCTGGGGGCAGGCCTGGGGGCACACCGCCTGGGCAGCAAGGAGAACACGCTCACGACCCACAAACACGTTGCAACCTCTGCAATAAAACCTGGAGCCGACTAGTCGCCAACCGTGCTGAGACGCACGCCGGGCAAGACCAAACCTGGGCATCCGAACGGGGCGAGGGGCCGAGGGACGGGCCGCGGTCCACGAGTCGGCGATGATAGAGCCCGCCAGCCCTCGAAGCGCCCGCCTTGTTCACTAGGAAGGCCTCAATGTGGCGCTGGTCGGTGGCGGAAGCATCTCTGACGTCAGTCTACGTTGCGGCCGCCGCTCTGGCGGCCAGCTCGTCTGCACACTCATTACCTCCCGCCCTGAAGAGTTCCCTCTCGGACCTGTTGTCGTAGGCTTCGAAGTTGGGGGGCCCAACGCACGTGGATGGGGTCGGCCCCCCGCTCACGCACAGCCTTACCGATCCTGGTCCAGAGGTCAGAACTACCAAACCTGGACGAAGACTTGTGCGAGGCCTCTGGTCCACCCACCCGCTAGAGGCGTATGATCCGACACACACACACACACACCGCAGTGGCCCTCGGGAGCACCCGAAGGCCTCAGGAAACGCCGTGAGCTTCGCTCTTGGGACCGTTTGTTTCGCGCCACCGACGCTGGACGAAATGCCCCACAGGGGCCCAGTCACATCCTGGGAGGGTTGCGACGGCAACAATCCCCGAACCAACGCGTCGCCTCCGCGGGTCGTCCACATGCGTTCCCCTTGATCCGTCTCAGAAATCGCGAAGCAGCCAGGGAGAAGTCACCGAATTCGGAACGGTGAGGGGGAGGCCGAGGTCGAAGATTGGGGTGATCTCAGCCATGCTCGGGACCTCGAAGCCAGAAAAGGTTGCCTAGCCTCGTGGCCTACCCCTGCACAGGGAAGGAGATGGTTAGACGTATCATAAGCTGTGTGGCCGATGTTACACTCGCAGGCCCAGGTTCCGTGAAACAGCGTCTCAGCTTCTCTGCCGCATCTCACGCAAAGCTGGGGCTCCAGCTCGTACCCCGCCTCGGCCTGGCGAGCCCTGGTCCACTGGCCCCCAGTGGTGACGTCTATGTTGAGGGCCCAGAGGTCGTCATCACCGTCAGCCTCGAAGCTCCGCTGCTCCATCTGCGCATGGAGGGCGTCGGCACCTCGTTGAGCCAGGTCGTCTGCGCCCTGGACAAGGGCCGCGCCAGCCCGCCGCCTGCCGTCGACGCTCTCCTCGAACTCGTCCAAGACTGCGGGGAAGTCAGCGCGGGCGCTCATGAAGTCAGGGCTCGTAGTCGGTGGGGGCCCCCACTCGACGCCGCGATCCATGACCCGCAGGTCTGGGCGCGGGGCGATCCATCCTGCATCGAGAAAATCGCAATCGTGACCGCAAGGGGCCTGCGCGCCGTCCGCCATCCCTTTGCTCCTGCCGCCACTGAGAGAGGAGTTGTTTTCGCCCGCGCCCTCGCGATCCTCGGGTGGAGTTCGGGGTGCGAGAACCAAGGGTCCAGCCGCGCCGCTGGCTGCTCCCGCGGGATCGTCTTCGCAGGGTCCGCGCGGCCGCGGGCGACTGCGGTCGCGTTGGCGAGGCAGCGCCCGCCGCTGCCCGCGCCGCCATCTTTCTCAGCCCGAGCACCTCGCTGCGCGGCAAGCCGCGCGCCCAGCGGCCGCAGGGGCCTTCCGCCTTGGCGCCAGTTCCCCAGATCCCGCGCGCCACCTTCTTGAGGCGAGCGAGGCGCCGTAGACGACGGGTGGCCCCAGCGCGGCGAGCAGCGCACTTCGTAATCTGCTCCCCTCGCGCCCCGCGGCGGAAGTGGGCGGCGTTGCAGTCCGCCCCAGGGTCGGCGAACGCAACCTTCGCTCTGGCGGGGATTCCGTTCTTCCTGAGGCTCCTGGCGACGTCCTCCGCCAGGCGGGCGATGCTGGCCGACGCAATCGTCTTCGCCGAGATCGCGCGGCCCGCCGCCTGCACGCCGCGATCCAACTCAGTCGCGCTCTCCGCCGCCGTCTGCTCCTGGGCCCTCAGGACCGCGTCGCCCGCGTGCGTCAAGAGGTCGACGCGGGCCCGAAAGTTCAGCTGCGCGCGGCGGGGAGCGCCGGGGCGGCCGCCAGCTGCGCGCCGCGCGGCGACCCCGCCGTGAGGGGTCGCCGCGAGACGATCTGCCTACTAAGCAACTTGCTCTCTCAACTGCAACTATGATCTGCCTTCGAGAAGCGTGGCGCCAACTACATTTGCAGCTCCATGTAGAACTTTATCGCCTGGAATTTCTGACCTGGCGCGTGTCGGACGAGAAATGGGGCGCTGGCGCCGTCGTAGAAGTTGGCGAGGTCGAACAGCAGCGTCGCGCATACCACTCCTAGCGCCCTCGCCGTCTCGTCCACGCACGGCCTCAAAATTAACGCCAGCAGCGCTGGCGATCCCACGGTCGCCGCGCCCCAGAACTCCCCCAGCACTTCGCCCCGCTAGGCTGCGACGGTGCCACGCAGCGTGCGCCGGGTCTTTATGGCGAAGGGCGGCTCCCCGAGGATGCGGACCCCTCCTCTGGCCTTGGGGGCCACGCGCTCAAGGTGGCGAAGACCTGCCTGGGCCAGCAGCCGCGCTCTTCAACCGCGTTGAGTAGCTGCGCCAAACCCGCGCGGCCCTACTCTGGGAGCCTCTGGACCTCGAGCGGGCCCAGGACGTCGATGCCCTTCGCGTCCTTTGTGCTGAAGGAGGAGGGGGCTGTCCAGCTGCTCGATCGCGATGGGCTCCAGGCCCTGCTCCTTGGCGACTCGGCGCGCGACCTCGACGCCGCCCATCAGCTGGTCGACCATCGCCGCGGGGTCGCTCCAGACAGCGCCCCGTTCATCGGCTCATCTATCGACGATGGCCGCGGGGTCTGCGAAGACGGTAATATTGTGGACGCGCCTGGCTTTCGGGATCGGCACCGCGCGCCCCTGTTGCTTAGCGCGCAACGACGCCCCATGCCACCGGCGCTGCTTGCCCTCCGCCAGGGCGAGAGCGTGCAAGGCGCGATCCTTTCACGGCGCCACCATCGCCGCCCGCGCCTTGATCGGTCCGCCGTGCCAGCCTTGACCATCGCATAGCCCATCAGGCTGCCGCCGCCCCCGCTGCGCGAGCAGGCGCAGTTGGCGGGGGGGTCTCGCCGCGGATCCCCTTGAGCCACATAAGGCCCACTCCCGTCCACGCGTCGGGCATGATGTTCAGAACGCCCAGGATGGCCCGCGGGTCGCTGAGCTGCGCGAGAAATATCCCAGCCGGGCGAGCGAGGGTCTTCTCGCTCGGGCCCTGGAACTTGCGCTGCGCGAGCATGAGCACGTGGAGCGAGATCACCGACGGGTTGCCCGACATCAGGTGCCGGACCGCTGGGAAGAAGCCAGCGAAAAGGGCCCCGCTTGTTCCCCGCGACGCCCGCCGCCCGTCAGGCCTCGGAGCTGGCGGCGCGCGCGCGCGCTCCTTCGAGGGCAACCGCGCGCCGCCCGACGGGCCCGTCGCCGATCGCTCCGCGGGCCTCGCTGGTGTCGCAACCAACTTCCATCCGTCTCTGCTGGGCGCCGCGCGGGCCCGCCGCCCTGAGATCCACCTGCAGCGTGGGTCTCCCGAAGGGCGATCAGGTTGCACTGCTCTGCCTGTCCTCGCACGACGCCCCGGGCCCGCTTGCCCCGATCTGCGATGTTCGGGGGAGATCGTGGCATTCTCCTTCTCGAGCTCGCTAAGACGGGCTCGTCCGGCACCCGGGCCTCCACTGCCTGCAGGTGCCGCCGCCGGGGACAGGAGCAGCCGTTGCCGCGGGCGCGCTGGCAGGCCGGGGCGCGCATGCACGATGGCAAAGCCGCCCCCGCCTCCGAGGGTGGCCTGACGCAAGCCGCATCGGGGGCGGCGACAAAGGCCCCCCCCCCGCCGAAAGAAACCTGGCGCGCGCCGCTGCCGCGGGCGCGGCGAACTTGGCCTGGGCCTGCTGCTTGAGCTCGGCGTCGGTGCCAGACCCGGAGAGGCGAGCGAAACTCCTCCGTCTGGAGCTCCAGCTGCCTCGGGCCCTCCTGCACCTGCGGGCCCCGTCGCGGTCGCCCATGTCCGCGCTGTCCTCCTTGGGCCGCGCCGGGTCGACCCGCGCGCGCATCGCGGGCTTGGACTTGCTCTCCGAGACATTGCCGCGCAGCTCCAGGACCTTCTCTTCGCGCGTCTTGAACTTCCACGACGCCTCGGAACCTGTGCGGCGGGCGCACAGCTTCGCGCGCGACACTGAATCCAGGTCCTAGATGCCCTCGTTGAGGAGGGCGGTGCCAAAGGCCAAGATGATCTTCTTGCTTGCCTCCGCGAAGCATTCGGATGGCTTCGCCGGCTGCGCGAGCGAGCGGGCGGCATTCTCGTGCTCGACCTTCGCCTGGAACCTTTTCCCGCGACGCCTTGATGTTGGCCTCCTTACTCTGGGCGAGCTGGGCCCCGCTTTCGCGCAGGCGCCCGCAGCCCGCGCCAGGGCCATCTCCTCGCGCTGCAGAGCCTGCGCCGTGGACTGCGCGAGATTAAAGCGACTTCTGCTTCGGAGGCTCTAGCCCGGGCGTTGCCATCTCCTGGGCGGTCGAGATCTCCTCCTCAATGGGCGGGCAGGTTGCGCGCAGAGTCTGCATTCGTCGCGCGATCGTGTCCGCCTCTGGCGTGGTAGACATATTTGCTCCCTTGCCTTAGGCCCAGCGGCGACCCATGTCGCTGACCCATGGCGGGGTGAGTTGATGGTCTGGGTTTTGCCCTTTCCCTTGCAGAAGCCCACCTGGCCGCCGCACTTGACGCGCTTCCCGCAGTTGCGCTCGATCATGGTGTTGCAGGCTCACTGCTTGCAACCAGCACGCACCGAAAATAGCCCACGAGCGCTCCCGCGCCCCATGGCGCAGCTGCTATGGGGCGAGAAGGGCTTGGACCGACGCGATCTGAGCGTCGGGGCCGGGGCCCCGAAATCAACTTGGTCAAGCCGCGGACTCGCCGCGCCCATGCCCCGCCACTGGCAAAAGGCATATTCGGCCAAAAGGGCTACGGAAAGGGGGGGGGGGAAGGGGATAGAGGATGGAACGCTTGGACGCATTGTCCTAGCTTTGCCTCATAAATGGGGCTAGCCAAACCCGAGGACCCCCTGGTGGAGGTTAAAACCAGTAGCGCCTCTTGCACAACCTTGGGCGCCCCCTGGTGGCGCGGGAAAAGGCCTTTCCAAAATTATGGCGACATTCTCTCGCCCCTTCTTTGCAGGCTCGCACCGACCGCAGGAATGTCGGGAGTCCATCGTCGCCGACTTTCCACGGGCCGAACCGAAAAATAACCCATATTCGTGCCCAGCGTGCATTCGGTGAGAACTGTGGACCTCGCGACTTTCTACCGACAAGGCTCCTGCGACGTCCCCAAGTCCTGGGGGGGGCCCGGCGCCCCGGCCCACGGGCGGGGCCACGACGGGGGAACGCGGAGTTTCGGCAGCGTCGACGACCTGGGAGGAGGGGGCGATCACGCGGCAACGGGTGCAAAGCCAGCGCCCCTGAACCTTCGTCCAGACGTGCCGGGACCTGGCCAGGGTCGCTTCGAATAGTGAGGCCCCACGACGCCGGACGCGCTCCGATCGCCAAGAGCCCCCGGGGTCGACGGCTAAAGGGTCGACCGTCGTCCGACGAGCCCGCTGCCACGCCAAAGCGGAAATCGCGCCCCATGCATCGGCTCGAGGGAGCTCCCCGACCAGGGCCCTCTCGGAGGCCCACTCCGTCCCCACCTCGGCCCTCTCATCGGCGCAGGCGCTGCCGGCGGCGTGGAAAACAAACACGGGAGAAACCAACTTCTCTGGCCCACCATCTGAATGGCCAGGTACCCAAGCAACCTGGATATCAGAAGTGACGGGCCCTCGAGGACGGATGGCAGCCCAAATTCGCACCCAGAGGTCCCCGCTGGCCCCGTGAGAACAAAACTCAAGAGGATTATGGTGCCATCCATTCCACAGGGCGCAACTGTCGATAAAATATTGGACGCGGCCGCTGCTATTCTGAAGGGCGAGAGCACATGTACGGAGCTCTGCACGCGGCGCTGTCTGTCGCGCGCCGTGCAAAACCCCGATCACGACGCCAACAGGCAACCATGGGCCATTTCCGCCTCCGCTTCGAGTCGACGGCAGCGGCGCCGACGCGGCGCCTCCGAGGATCCGACGAGTGAGCCCCGCCAGACCCATCACCGAAAATGCGCACCATTTCCGCCGCGGCCCCCCTCGAGGAATCGGACGTGGCCCCCGCGAGCACGACCCAAGCGGCCTCGGATGCGTCGAAGGCGGGCGTGGTCAGGGCGACTGGGCGCGCGACGCGGAGCCGCAATGCGGGACCCTGCTCCACGCCAGCCCGCGACAGCGCCACGAGGTGCCCCCAGGCCTCGTGGGCCTCGTGCCCCACATTGCACGGGCACTCCCACGCGCGGTGGAAGAGACTCTCTGGCGCAGAGCAGCAGCGCTGGCACAGCTCGTCAGAGTCGCACCCCGCTCGGCGCTGTCGCTCGCGCGGCCATACCTTAGCGGCTGCACGTAACACATGTTGCAAGTAAGAAAGATATGCGCCCAAGGGCGCACGATCAAGAACGACAAGGGCGGGTATCGATGGTTTGGGATATGCGTAGTAACTTGCACGCGAGCAGGTATGATCGAACAGTCTGAAAATGATTCCTGTTGTTGGTGAATTCTCATTCCTGAGGAAGAATGGTTGTTGATCCCCCCTCCGGGGCACAGTGTGTTTGTTCAAACAAAGGGCTTCTCCCAGGGGTCGCACCCTTTTTTTTACCCGTGGAAGCAATGTGTCATCAAACTCTGCCCCTGACCTACAGTTTACAACAACAACGGCTCTCACATCGCACTCTCGCGCGGGACTTCTTCACGATGTATACAGGAATCGCGCTCTCGCGTCGGACGACCTCACAATTTATTCAGACGCCGCGCCCTCGCTCAGGAATCACGCTCTCGCCGTTGATGTCCTCACGGTTTATTCGGGAATCGCGCTATCGCTCAAGACTTCCTCGCTCAGCTTCAGCAAACCGCTTCAGTAAACCACTCGTCCCTTGTCCCTTCCTTCCATCCATCCTCTCTTCCCCTGCCGTAAGGGCTGCACGCAATACATGTTGCAAGTAAGAAAGATATACCGTCATGGGGGGCAAGATCGAAGACGAAGAGGGCGGGCATCGAAGGCTAAGGATATACGTACCTATACGACCACCCTTCGGGTGATAAGGAGGTTGTGGTGGGGGGAAACAGGGAGGAACCAACATCTGACTCAATCGATCTCACTATCGATGCCACTCAACAGGACACCACGGGACACCACGGGGCACCACGGGACACTTGTCGACCTCACGATCGATCTCACTATCGATCTCACTTTTCGGGACACCACGGGACACCTCGGGGCACCACCTCTCGATCTCACTACCGACCTCACTATCGATCTCACTACCGATCTCACTTTTCGGGACACCACGGGACACCTCGGGGCACCACCTCGATCTCAGTATCGATCTCATTATCGATCTCACTATCGATCTCACTCAACGGGACACCACGGGACACCACGGGACACCTGTCGATCTTACTATCGGAATCACTATCGATCTCACTTTTTGGGACACCACGGGACACCTCGGGGCACCACATCGATCTGAGTATCGATCTCAATATCGATCTCAATATCGATCTCACTATCGATCTCTCTCAACGGGACACCACGGGACACCACGGGACAACGCGGGACACCACGGGACACCGCGGGACACCGCGAACCACCGCCGGACGGACGGCCGGATGGGCGGGCGGGGGAGAATCATGTGTGTTGACTTCGCCATAGCAACGGCGGACACCACGGGACACCACGGGACACCACGGGACACCGCGGGACACCGCGAGCCACCGCTGGACGGGCGGGCGGGGGATAATCATTTGTCTTGACTTCGCCATAGCAACGGCGGACACCACGGGACACCACGGGACACCACGGGACACCGTGGGACACCGCGAGCCACCGCCGGACGGGCGGGCGGGGGAGAATCATTTGTCTTGACTTCGCCCTAGCAACGGGGGGGGTGTTCCTCTCGCGCGCCCACGCAGCTTCACCTCGCCCGCACGCACGACAGGAACGCAACGAAACGGTTTCCTGGTTGGGGGTCTCCGTTCCACTGCGATCTCACCCCCAACCTCCGATTACATGGCACGCGAGCAGATAAGAGCGAACAGTCTTAAGATGAGTGTTGTTGTAATATTAGTTGTTGCTGTCTTTGTTGCTGAAGGTGCTGATGTTGTTGTTCTTGCTGTTGTCGTTGTTGCTGTGTTGTTATTGTTGTTGTTACTGTTGTTGGTTGTTGCTTCGTCTCAGCTGGCGCAGGTATCATTCGCATCACGAGCCACGTGAAAAGATACGCAACCCCGATCGAGAGGGGTGAAGACCGACGCTGCACTATGCAGCGCTGCACCGCCCAGGCCTAGGCAACGACCCAAAGTAAATGTCGCAGCAACCACCGCTGGGACGGCAACTACACGAGAAGCCTAGCCGTCGTCAAACGCACACACACACAAGCAAACCTCTGCATCCTCGAGCCTCGCTCTTCGGCCCTCCCCGCCGATGACTTCCAGGATGTCGCCACGCTGCTTGCCCACCATGCAGCAGCAACAGCAGCACCCCGCAAGGCACCAGTGCGGGGCCTCGCAGCGGGCGGAGAAGGAAGATGAGGAAAAGGAGGAGCAGGAACAGGAGAAGCGCAAGGGAACAGAGGTGAAGCAAGAATGGGAGGAGGAAGTAGCAGAAGGAGGCGGAAGAGGAGAGGAAGGGGGAGCAGCATCACCAGAAGGAGTAGCAGCAGAAAAAGCATGCGGATGAAGGTTGGGAGCAGCGAGGAGGATGAGGAGAAGGCGGAGGACGACGAGGACGACAGGGAGAAGGGCGATGAGGAGCAGAAGGCGGAAGAGGCGGCGCGAGGAGAGGGAAGGAGGAGACAAGAGGCCGGAGGCGAGAAGGGTATGATGGAGGAGGGATGGAGGAGGGAGGAGACAAGAGGGAGAGGTGGGAGGGAGGAGACAAGAGGCAGAAAGTATAATTTACAGAGCACGGGATGGAGGAGGGAGGCGACAGGAGGGAGAAGGCGGTGGGCGAAGGGAGACGAAGAAGGGAGGCAGGGGAGAGGAGGTGAGGGAGCGTGGCCTTGATGGGCGCTTCGAAGAGGCCGATCTGCCACTTCCCTGTCAGCTGCTCAACGACCTCCTGCTTGATCGGCATACCCCTCCTGCTCCCGCGGCCTCCCTCCGAAAGCTGCTGGCCCAGATCGCGCGCGGCGGGAGTAGCGGCCGAGACCTCCTGCGGGGCTTGAGCAGAACAATTGCCGCGGCAGATGCAGCGACAAAAACCAAGTCTTGCTACAAGAAATCCGTGGGCACAGTGATCGATGATCCTGCGGCTTCCCTCGGCGGCGAGCGACGCGGGGAAGTGAGAAGGAGAAGGCCTTCTCAGAAGGCGGCGGAGCTTCTCAGAAGCCGCCCGGCCTTGTGGAAAGTTGTTATGTCTCCGGGGAAGGCTTCAACAACCTTTAAGAAGGCAAGGGGACTTCCAAGCCTTCTAAGAAGGCCCGCCCCTTCTCGCGTCCCCCCCTCGCTCGCCGCCGATCCCCAGGCTGTCCCAATACCACCGCAAGTCCTCCCGGGCCAGGGGGGGGGGGGAGAAATGCCGTGGGGCATGTGCCGACGAGCGGGTAATCATCGCGTTCGATGTGCCTACTATCTACGCTGAAGACGGGGAGCTGTCGAATGCTTCCGGTTGTCATCGGGCGTCTGGGGGGCCAACACATACGGATGCCGCTGCTGTTCGCACGTCTCCAGGGGTGCGTTCTGCCAAGGATCTCGGGGCGACCCCAGCCGCAGCGAGGGTCGGGGGCGTCCAAAAGGGGAGCGTCCGAGAGGAGGACTCGCAAATCGTGGCCCGAGGCACGCGTGCGGCCGAGTGAGGGGCCGAAAGGGACGTGCTGAGAGAAGAACTAGCGGGGGCCACGAAGTCCGGTCAGACATCATGGCCCCGGCCATGTCCAGCCCCCCTGTGCTCCTATCCCCCCTCTTGGCCGCCCCCGAGATGGCGTGGGTAGCAGTATCGGTAAATTCCCAGCACGGAACCAGCACGTTGTGGTGGAACAGAACAGGAGGAGGAGGAGGAGGAGGAGGAGGAGGAGGAGGAGGAGGAGGAGTCGGATGCCTTGGCAGCTGTCTGGGGTTCTACTGCATGCGACCCTGTTGCTGCTGGCGCGGTAAATCGGCGAATCGGCGGGTCGCCTACGGGACCCTTGGCTTTTTAGCCTCTCGGCCCGCTGCAGCGCGGGGCCTTCTCGTAAAAAACAAAAATGTTATGGATACGGCAGGGGCTTAGGGCCTTCTGGCCAATCGCCCCTGTCTCAGGACTTGTTCCTGTGAAGCAGTCGTCCCGCCACCTCCCCCTCCGCCAACTCGCCCCGCTCCCCAGTCCCACTAACACTGCTGCTGCGCGTTCTACCACTGCTCACATGTCTAGTGTCTGGCCCCGCGGTCCAGGATCCCGTGGTTTGGGGGAACCGATGGTCCGCTGGGGGACCGTCCGAAACTGGCCAGTGCCGTAGGTGGCAGAGTAAGAAAGAAAGAGAGGCACCCTTTGGCGCCTAAGCTTAAATCTCCAAGGCATGTGTTCAACGTCTTCACCTGTACGAAGCACGAGGGGGCGTCACGGGTGGGCCATGCGCCGCAGCAGCTCCATCGCCCTGCGACTGTCTGCCCTGGCGAGCTCTCTCAGTCCAGTCATCTCTATCCCTCCATCGCCCGTTGCCGCGCCCGCAGTGCTGACTGTGCTCTCCTCTCGAGACCTGATGGCGGCGGTGCTCCGAATATCTGCTCTGCCCCTGCCGCACGCAGTGTGTCCACGACGGCTTTCCTGAGGTCCCCGATCTGCGCGGTGCGGCTGATCTTGACGTGCGGCTCCTGGTTTCCTTCTCGAATGGCGTTGATCTGGTCCTCCCAGGATGCTGCCCACGGGCTGCAGGCGAGGCTGTTGAGCATGAGGTAGAGCTTCCATCTCTCTGGCTGCCCCGCCTCGCCGTAGGCCTTCTTGACCTTGAAGTAGGAGACGATGTCCCCGAATCCCTGCATGCCCAGCACGTCGATCAGCAAAGCCGACGTGGCGTCGGTCATTATTTTCTGGAGTTTCCCCACAACATGTTGCACGTTGCTCTGGTGCTGCCGTTGCCGCCTGCTCCGGTTCCGCCGCCAGCCTGTCGGTGGTGGTGGTGATGCAGTGACTCCGTCTTTGCGGAAACCGTGAATTGGCATGCTGCCCTTTGCTGTGTCTGCGTCGCCGATTTCCTCATCTGCCCCGCCTGGACTATCCCGTTCGGTTCGGGCTCGCCTTTCCCGCACCCAGTTGATCGAGGAGCGTACTCGGGACACCGTGGAGTGCCTCAACTTGCTTGGGGGCTACGCCACACCGCGGGTCGCGCCAGAGCGCCTCTCACATCTGGATGTTTTGCTGCATCGACGTGTTCGAGGGCTGCATCGTGATATGGCTGCCCCTCCGAGCACGTCGGCCCAGGAACCCTGCTGAGAGCTTTTGGGCCGCCCGCGTCTGCACTACAACACGGCTAACGACTTGCCGCTGAGGCCCTACGCTCCGCACCTCGTGAGCTGGCCCGAGTTGGGAAACGAGCCTCAGTGGCTCGCGGATCGGCTGGGGACAAGCGAACGATGCTCTCTCTTGGACCTCGACCATGCTTTGCTGCTGCCGCCACCGAGCTTCGACGAGGCCGTGGAGACAGAGGGGAGGCCCACGTTGTACATGGACCCTGTACTGGAGCGGAAAGCTGAACTCCGTCAGAATCGTCTTGTTGGTCCCCTCGGCCTTGTCGTTGAGCCCCATCTCCAAAAAGAAGTCGACGCCGATGTGGAGATGCGGAGACCCCAGGTCATTGTTGCTCTTCTCCTTGGCCTTCTCCGCGTAGGTTGTGCCCGCTGCCACCGCGGCGGCCACTGCTGAGTGCTCTCCTGGGAACAGGAAGAAGTCCCAGAGGCTGCCTGACAGCTGCCTGATCATCTGCGCGTTGTTGATTGTCAGCTTCTGCATCAGCGCGATCTCTTCGTCGTTGTGGTCGCCTGAGCCACTCTCTTTGCCAGTGGCCTTCTTCGGCCCTCCACGCGGCTGCTTCTGGCGTAGTGCCAGGGTCGCCGCGGCGGCCTCCGCCGTCTGACTGCGCGGCCTGCTTCCTCCTGCGGTGGCCCTCCACGACATCGCAAGGGCCAGAACAATGAGCAGTGACGTGGCCGAGATGATCCTCGATGGTCGTGTCCCCGCGGCCGCAGTAGCTGCACGTTTACACATCCCGCTGTTCGGGTTCGAATGCAAATTCGGTGGCTCGAGCGGGGCAACGCAGCGAGTGCGATCTCGACATGGTGATGACGCGGCGCAGACATGATGCTCTGCTCGCAAATGCTGTACGACACCATGGACACACGTTCGTGCTGATGATCATGGAGTGCAGGTTGCGCATGTGGTGCGCGTGCGTGATGTGCGCCGTGAGTGCCTTGACCGTCGTGAATGCCATTCCGCAGCATCTGCCCTCGCCCTCCTCCCCCATCTCGTGCGTGCACACGCACTCGTCTGTAATGGTGCTATCGTCGTCCGCTTCCCCGTCATCGCTCTGAGGTCGGGCTGCTCGTCGGGCGCCTTCGGGGCTTAGGAGGTCTCGATGGGTACCTATCTTGATTTCGTTGAATTCCTTGCTGGCCTCTGGGTCTTCAAAGATCTGGAGGAGGTTACTCCTGTTCGTCCATATTCTCGCAAACCTCGGATCTGCTTTAGCAAGGCCCTCCAGGTCGTCTCTGAACTAATGGGCCCAAGGGGTACTGTGCGCTGCAAGCCCCCCGCCGCTCGTAAGTCTCGGGAGCTCGAGGGGCCGATCGATTTCTAACGTCCCAAACATAGCTGCACTGACCTGTTTGTGATTCTGTGGGGCCGTAGATACCTGCTGCCACCATCTCGAACGCTGCACTCGAAGCTCGGTCGCGGCCCGGCTAATGTTCCAGCGGCGGCTTACTGCACTGTTTGTCATCGTCCTGGCTCGGCCCTCGCACTCGTTTTCAGCTTTGCCATGCATCGAGTAGCAGAGCATGCGGACCAACACGGGGTCTAACTCATCCGTGGACCCCGCTGGCAGCACATAGGCTGCGAGGCCCGCGATTGCGGCGCTGCACACAAAGCACAAGAAGAGCGCGCGGAACAACTTGTGGTGGAGGGGCTGCCTCCAGACCTCTCCTAGTGATCTCCACGCAGCACGGGCTCCTTTGATGCGGTTCTCGAGTTCCGTCCAGAGTACCCCGTCGAAGCTAAGGATCGGCCTGAGAACGCGTGTTTCCCGACAGGCTGCCCCGAGGACGCGATTTTGACGAACTAGGCCCCTGGATGCCTCAAAGGATCCCGACCCGTGCGTGCAGATGAGGTGGTTGGTCGTATCTGCGTTCAAGTGGTGGCCGTTCTTCAGTATGTGTGTCTGGAGCTCGCGCGTGGCGTGGTTCAGCTGCATCATGATGTGGCGGGCATGCGGTGCATAAGCATGTATATGTACGCGCGATACGTCACCCACGGAAAGACCAACTCCTATGTCAACCACCTCTTTGGATGCTGGGCAGCGACCCGCTAGCCATGTGTAGCTGGTGTCTGTCTCGCCCAGCCGTGCATTCCACTCTGAAGCTGTGGGAGAGTAAATGTCAATGAAGCCGCCTGCAGCTAGCGAGTGGCCCATCGTGGTGCGGTTGTGCGGCAAAAGCTGCTGCACCGCCGTGGGCTTCTACGTGCACTGTTGCTTGCCCAATTGCTTGCTGTAGTAAGTGCGCGTTCTCTCGTCGTGCTGTGCGTGCATGCTGTTCGTCGAGCGCTCCTCTTTCTGTGCATGCGAATGCGTTTGTGCCGTCATAGTTGCTAGTGGCATGGCTCACTTTAGCTTGCCTGCATCGCCAACACGCTGCGGAACGACTCAACATACAACCTTCCCGTCGCCTCCCTGGGAGCCCCCCGTGTGCGAAATCGGGCGGGGTCGGTCCCCTGGAGGTCTTCTGGAGCTGTCCGAAGTACGACATGCCAAACGCATCAAAACAGTGCAGGATACGCTGTCCCTGGATCCCGAGCTTGTTGTCGCCCTTGGCCTGGGAAAGCGACTGCGAGCGAATGGCACTCAGTGGGGCTGATCCTACCAGGCGGATCAGCGCAAGTAAGTCGTCGTACCTCCTGCTGAAGTGCTCTGGGTTGTACTTCTGGTCGTGCTCGCTCACGTGCTATCGCCTATCAATGCACATGCATAACGCCTCCGATAGCACTCGCCATGCAGGCCCTGCTCGTCGTTTGGGGGCCCGTCGTAGGCATCGTATCTGTCCTGCCCGACCCTGGCGAATCTGATCTCGTAAGTCATCTGCGTGCAAGGTTTCGTAAATGTGCGGCATGGAGCCGCGGTCTGCGATCCACTCCTGCCAATAAACCTTCTCGAATTGCATTCATCCCAGCTGTGGCGGTCGGCTCAGTCCCTGGTCCCACTGTGATGCTGTCATCCCTGTGCGCGGTGCGAACAGGTTGCGCTTCTTCGGTCCACGCCCTATATTGGCTAGCGCAACTCTGAGGCGGTGTAGTTCGGCGTGGCGGTGATGTTTCCACGCAGCTGTGAACTGATCCACCAGCTTCTCTGTTTTCTCCGTCTTCTGCCGCCGCCGAAGCACCTGAAACTTCCGTGAGAGGGCCTTGAGCTGCTCTTCTATCTGGTCGAACTCGGTGTAGCCATCGCTTATGTAGCGTTTGCTGTCGGTGTGGTGCGCGTCGGCTCGGAGCTGGGATCGCTTCTCGAGCAAGTGAATCCGCTGCTGTCGCATCTCGTCGTATCCTATGATGTCCTGTTCCTGCTTGGGAGACGTCTCCTGCATAGCTTCACGAATGTACTTAGAAAGCATATCCCACCACTTTTGCACGTTGCCTTGGCCCCATGTTTGTCGCCACTCCGTCTCGTGTATCTGCTGGGTCTTCTCCTCGACTTTGTTAGGGGCTCCAGGCGCTTGTAGCCTCGTGTAAATGCGATCATCATGACGTCGCGGTTGGCAGGTGGCGTGAGCTTGCTGATGTGGGCATTGGCGATGTGCGCGTCCAACTTCAGGTGCATCGGCACGTGGTCGGTCAAGTGCGCTGGGACGTGTAGCTGCAGCCGTCTTGCCAGTCCAAGCAAGGGGTTGATTTGGCGGACCCTGCACAGGGCCGTCGCTGGCAGGGCAACGTGGTCTATCTTGCTTGTGTGGGCGCCTCTGTAGTAGGTGGGCCCCGTCCGTCTGAAGGCGCCCGCGATCGCCAAGCGGTTGTTATCCAAAAAATCCCGCACCTGCGAGCTGGTAGTGTTCTCTAGGGCAGGGCTCCTCGATACCGATGGACTCGGTGGCTTCTATGTATTTTCTTCCTGTCGTATCTCGTCGCATTCCAAAGGCGCAGTTGTAGTCGCCCAGTATGATGGGGAGGCAGTTGTGCCCAAGCTTGTCAAGCTCGCCCTGAATCCACTTACCTTGTGGGTGTTGACGGCCATGCCCCGCGGTGGAATATAAATGGGGAACAGCGCCACGTCTATTGTGCCCACGCATACTGTATCATGCCAATCCGTCCTGTGATGCCACCCTTCGTAGGAGGCGATGCTACTCTCTGGGCCCTGCCACTGAGCCGTTTATTCAGTAGCACTGCCAGTCCACATGAGTTGTTGACGCCAGCCGCCTTTCTCCACCCGAACTGGATGCATTGGTGATTTGGCAGCTGGCGCCTCGTGCAATCATCGTCTCGCGCCGCCCTGCCCGCCCTTATGGCAACGTAGACGTCGATATTGGCCGTCCGCATCGAGATCTCCTCGAGGCGAGTGTAGTCCGCCCACTGCGCGTTGCGGTGGACTACCTTCATGCTTCGTTCCTCGGCGGCGAGGCGAGCGTGGCGCAGCGCGCAGCAAAAGAAGAAACTGGAAAGGAACAAACTCGGCGGGGGTTCGGTAGCGGACTTCTGAGTGGGATTTCTCTGCGCCGCCCAGAGCGGCCCCGTCCCGTCGAAGCGCCCTGTCTTCCACGCGTCAAAGTTCTGCGGTGACTGCGGTCGGGGGCGGGCCGCTCGCGGGCGTCTGGGCCGCGGCGGCGGCTGGAGGAGGAGGAGGAGGAGGAGGAGGGGGAGGGGGCGGCGGCGGCGGAGCGATATCGGGCCGAATGTCTCGTCTGCCGTGGGACCGCATAGCGGGCAACGCGAAGCGCAATTCAACTATGCGCGACCACTCGTGCGCCTTACAAGCGAGCGACCAACGCCCCCTCCAGGGGGGTGGGGGCGGGGGGGGCGGGGGGGGCGCGTTGACTCCGCTCGACCCCATTCGCCGAGCGACGCCTTGGGGGGGGGGGGGGGGGGGGGGGGGGGGAAAACGCAGGAAGAAAAAGCACGCACGGCCCCCAGGATCCAAGGGGCGCTAGTTTCGTGCCGCGAGCGCGACCAGAGCTTTGAAACTCAGAGCGGGGGACGAGGAGACCCTCTGAGGACGAGGAGGAAGGCTCGAAGGACGAGTAGGGGGAGAATGGACAGCGGTAGCAACAGCACAACGGGCGGCCTCCTGGAACTTAGGCTTCAGGGGCCTCGAACCCTCAGTCGACCCGCCAACTCTCGACGACGGCGACGCTCTCCCAGACGGCGTCACCGAAGCAGCACTAGTGCTCTGAGCCGGCGGCAACGACGCCCTCCCCGCCAGCGCCACTGAAGCAAAACTGGTACTCTGCGCGGACGGCAACGACACCCTCCTCGACAACTCCATCGAAGTTGAACTGCTCTTCGGAGCTGCAGTTGCCCGAAGTAGGCACTGCACGGCCGCCCCCTGACCCGCGATACCTTTTCTATCCTGAGTCGCACGTGCCTCGGCACTCTGCGCCACCGCACTGATTTCAGATCCCGCTGTGCGTGGCGACGGCGATGCGTGGACCGCCCTCGAGGAGCAGGCGGCCAGGCCTTGCGATCTGACGCCTCCTGGAGCTCGTGCCACATCAGAGCTCTGAGCCCCTTCACTGGTCACAATGCCCGCGTCCTGAGCGCGGCTGTACATGGCGACTGTGACGCATTCTGACGCCAGCCGATCCAGCTATGCGTGGCGACGTCGATGCCTGGACCGCCCTCGAGGAGCAGGCGGCCAGGACTTGCGAACTGACGCCTAGAGCTCGAACTGGTCGAGCGCGAGCTGCAGCACTCTCTGCGCGCGGCTGCGCGGGGCCATGCCTGGGCGGACCTGGCCGCCCATCTGAGTCACGCACTCCTGGAAGCACCGAGCCATCAGGGGGTCCGCCAGGCTGAAGACCATCTTGGCGAGCCCCTCCTTGTACGCGCTCGACACTCTGAAGCCCTTGACCAGCATCGCGATGTCTGCGATCGACTGAGCACCATCGAGCCGAGCCTGTTGCTCCTTCCAGTTCTTGGCGTTGGCCATCCCTACTTTGTCGCCCGCCTCGCTCACCTTCTTCGCCACCACGAGGAAGACCTGCACGCGCGCTGGGCCCACCAGAACTTCTGGCAGCGGTTTGTTGGGGTCGTTCGCGTTCCCCTGGCGCATCCTCGCTGCCTCAGCCGCGCATCCACGACCCGCCACGAATCCTGCCTGGACCAGCTCGTTCTCCTCTGGAATCGTCATCGTGACGAACCCCGCCGCCATCACCATCCTCAGCGTGTAGCAATTGCCCAGGACCGCCCACATCAGGATCGGGAAGACCTTCGCCATTGTCTGCGCGTCCATCGGAGGCAGACGATCCAGCGTGTCTGCCGGGATGCCGTACGACTTGCCCATCGCCATAGCCATGTCTGATCCTTGCCGTCGGGCCGCAGGTGCGCCTCTGGCCTGCTGCCGAGCGGGCGGCAGCACTGGTTGCCCCGAGCCTGCGCCTCCACGCTGCTGAGGTGGCTGGCTGCGACGAACTCCGCCTCCTTGCCGTCCTCCACGCCGGTGGGAAGCGACTGCCGAGCCAGAGCGGTGTCTGCGCGAGCCTCCCGACCTGGCCGACCTGGAGCGGTGTCCCGCGGCCTCCAGGACCTCTCCGCTCAAGCGGTACATCAGCAGCACTAGAAGTGAGAGGCCGTCGATGGGGCGTGTGTCAGTAGGTGCAGGTTAAGCTCGGCTCGATCCTGAAAAGGGCTCCGTACGGCCGCAACACATATCGGTCAGGATGGCCTTAGACTTGGCCCCGAACACCGAGGCCACCGTCAGCTCAGACATGGGACAGTACAGGCTCTGGGGCTCCAGGACGGGGTGGAAGAAGGGCGCGACGTTCGGGGGGGGCACCGATTTTGAAATGCAGCCTGAACCGCGTGCTCCTGAGCAATCCTTCTGGTGCGGAACGTCTGGTGGCAGAAAATACTTTCGTTCGTGACCGTGATGGCGTGGACCACTGACCTACAGGAATGCCCTCCGTCCTTCGAGAACCTTTGATGGGCCACTAGGGCCCTGCGGGCCCGAAAGACCCTCCCACACTTCTTGCCCTCAGGAGCTCCGACTCGGACCTCCGCACAAGCTCCAAGATGTCTGCTGCGAATCGCTTCGCGAAAGGATTGGCCTGCGGATGAAGCCAGCCCTGCTCGCACAACGTGAGACAGTCTTCCACTGGCAGCTGGCCGAAGATAGCACCTAGCGCCTGCGGGTGAGAGCCAGGACGGCGAACCCAACTCTGGTATTGTCTCAGGCGCCTCACTCTCAGCTCCACTCCAGATGGGGCGATGCCAACACGACGAAAGACAACAGCATCGGTGATAGCACGATAACGAAGAACGGGTTTGCCCCGACCATCCAGAACAGGCCGTCCTCCTTCGTCCTGCTCCTCCACCTTCTGACACGCGTCCCCTCTCAAGAGCGTTCTGGCGAAACCGATGAGCACCCGATCGAATCGAAGTTCTTGCGGTACCGTGAGCACCAAAGTCGTTGAACCCGAGAGAAGAGCACCCTGGACGACGACCCCAAATACCGTGCGCGTGAAGCGCCAGACTCTGTTTTTTGCCCAGAACCTGCCCATGGAGTAGTAGCCCCGCCGACATGCCAGTACACGCCTCTCGAGCTTTCCCTGGGCCCCCAAATCACGGCCGTCTGAATACCCAACGCAATGTTATCAAACTGCACCTGGCCAGGGAGGGAGACGGCACCTCCGAACACAGCAGCATTTTCAGCCTTCGATCCTGGCCCGACGAGTGATGGAGAGACGGTGCTTTTGCCTGAATTATGAACGTCGCCGTCCTGCGACAGCGTATCTCGAAGGTGCACATGTGCATGCTCCAGCGTGTACTTGGCATTCTTGGCCGAGCTGACGATGTGCGTCTTGCTAGTGTCGTCGGCGTAGACTCTGCACGACAGTTCGACGGGCCGCTGGAAAATCGGTGTCCACGCCGTGCACATCGCTTCAGTCGGCCACAATATCATATCAGGATTGGCTGGCGGCACTGCGGGGACGAGCGCCTGGTCCACACACTCCTCGTATGTCTGAGGACGGGCAGGAGCCTGCCCATGCCAGGTCTGAGACCAAAGCTGATCCAGCCATTGTTGCACGGGCTGCCTGAAGGTCCTCGCAAAGAACACAGCCGCGGGAGTGTCCCCCATGAGCGCGCCGCACAGATTGTGCAGCGCTGCCTCCCCGTCTGAGCAGGAGGAGGAGGAGGGGACTGCAAAACATACACTTTCGGAGTTCCGTGCGGATTTCTCGGATCGGCGCCGGGCCCCCGTGGATCGGCGTCTCCAGCGCCGATCCAAGAAATCTCCGCGCGGAGCTCCGACAGCTCATGCTTGTGATGTGCGTTCTTCTGCTTCGCGATCAGCACCGAGCCGCCCTCAGTCTTGCTTTCTGGTCTCCCACTGGATCTGCCCCTGGAGTCCGCATGCAGTGCAGTCGCCTTCTTCTGGGACGTCGATGCCGCGCATACGGACGGGGAGGAGTGGCAGAAGAGAGGGAAATGACGGACGAGGAGGAGACTCGAGTGGGAATTGGGGCAGAACGGAAGAAATCATCCAATAATATCAAACATGAAGACATGCGTGTCCACAACACAGCCCGCTGCCCGCTGAAGGAGGCTGCACGAGGAAGCGTCAAATTCGACAATGCCAGAGTAACGCGAAGGCATCCGCGGGATCCGGGCCTCCGACACGTGGATTTCTTGGGTCGGCGCTGGACCCCCCTCCCTGGCGCTGGTCCCCTCTGGGTGGGGCGTTGGACCCGCCAGAGGCGCCGCCAGGGAGGCCCCGCACAGAGCCGTTAAATCCGCGCGGGCATCCGGAAATGTATGCTTATGCCGTGTCTCCTCTTCGATCTAACAGACACCCGTCGCATGATTTTCGCACCGCCCGAAGGTCTGGGGATTGTCGTCTAGTTTGGGTCATAACGCTGCTCTCCGGCGGCCGTTCGGACCTATCCGGGCACCCCCCAGACACCCTCGGCGAGACGCGGCTGCTGGAACACACCTGGAGGCCGGAGAACCGACGAGACCTGACGAAAACGCAACGAAACCTCTACCTCGAACCTCCTCCAATCGTCTGGGTCGTCCCAACGTTGCCTCGAACAGAAGGCCATGGGGACCGGGGCCGGCCCCGCCTTCCGCTCATCGGTGAGGTCCTCCACCCGGCGCAGGGACGTCTCGCTCTGCTGCACCACCGCCTCCCGCAGCAGCTCCTCCTCGCTGGCAAGGTCGACGGCACCTGCGCGCCCGGAGCGGAAGGTAGCCCGCCGCGCCCATCTCGCGCGAGGGCGGCACGCGTGACAGGTCACCGAAGTCGCTCCAGAAGAAGACGGCTGCGGGGCCGAAGCCCCATCTTGGGCCACCTCGAGCCCATCTTGTCCCCCGACGAGTGCTCCCTCATCTTCCTCTCCCTTCCATCTCCCTCGTCTACTTCGTACTCCATATCACCCCTAGGCCCTAGGGGTAGGTAGAACGAAGGCGGGGGAGGAGGGCCAGGGCTTGAAAGGAAAAGGCGATGAGAGGGAGGAGGGGAGGGGGGCATGGTGGATGAGCACCAGGGGGAGGAGGAGCAGAATGATGGGCGCGGAGAAAGGTGGAGAGGATTAGGGGCATGAAGATAACGTGAGGGAGGATAAGAAAGGGGAGGGGAATGTTGGTAGAGAGGGGGCAGATGAGACGAGAGGCCTTCGCTGTTGCATCACAGTGGTCGTTGAGAGACTGACTGGCCTGCATCTGCCCACCTACTGCGCCGACTCCGCCACATCATCCGAAGAGATGGAAGGTGTCCCCTTCGGTCGTCGCTGGCCCGAACTCCCCTCCGATTCCCTAACCGCCCTGGTCGTCGGTATCAACGACGTCATTATGACAAATTCATCTGTTTCGAACCATCCTCACCGCAACCTCAGGCACTTGTCCCCAACCAGGCGCGCACCTGCTGAAACGATACGTGCAAAACTATGTCAGAGGAAGCGGAAAAGCAACGAGTGGCGGAGAAAATCGCGCCGAGTGTATGACCTACGGCCTACGCCGCGATGCCATGATATAGTGTATCAGTCTATGATACGTTGAATTGTCTGCTGATGTATATGATGCGACATCGGACCTGGTAGAGCCACTTATATTGTGTGGCTGTGTGCTATACGATGTGATGATTGTGGTATGGTCTGCTCTATTCCCTTACACCGTATCATGTTGTATGTATGTGATGCCCCATTCTTCTCTATTATGGCAACCTGTGTTCTACTATGGTATGACAAGTTCCACTCTGCTCTAGTCATTCCCACGCACGCTACGCTAACACAATGTGGTATGTTTTGCGATGGCATGATGGTTTATGGCACTATGTTAAAACATGCTGTGGTCTCTTTGGAACCGTGTTGTGACATGACATGCCATGTACGGCTACGTTATGGTTGTGTTCGGGTTTGCGCAGTAGTGCAGCTTACGTGATGACGCGTTCATTGTAGCATAGCATGATCTTCTCTGCTACGACGTGCATATTAAGGTAAGCTGTAACAGTTCGTGTTATATTGGGCTCGTTGACGTGATGACATCAGTCGGGAAAAAAACAGTCTGTGGCATGCTGCTTACAGTACGTTACAGTACGTAGTGCTGTTCATTAGGGCATGCTGTGTTCTGTCAGATCATGATATTCGTCTGCCGGATGTTACAATCCACAATGTTGTCTACTTTCGTCACCGTCATGCCAGATCATGTTTTGCTGTGCCATTGTTCGCTGCGTCATGGTACGTATGCGTTGTTATGGTATGGCATGCTCGATGCTGCGTTCTGTTATGGGCTGTTCTGTCATGGCATGATGCGCGATGCTCTGCTATATTCTGCTATGCTGTATCGAATGATGCCGCGATTGAGCATGGTATGCCTGGTTATGATATGGAGAGCAGTGGTATGCGATGATGTGGCAGTGTGGCATGCTGTGCCAGTGTGTCAAATGCTAGGGTATGCGACTTATGCTATGCTCTGGTCTGGTATGCGTGGCGATGTTATGTTGTGTGGTGCTGCGATATGATGCACATGCTCAATTATGTCAGTGTAGGCATTGTCATGCTGTGTCCAGCCATTTTCTGCTCTGGCATGCTCTGTTGTGGCATGCATTGTTATGCTATGCTGTTATAGTATACTATGCTGTGCAATGCAATGATGCGCTGTATCGCGCTCTGTAGTGGTACGGTTTGTTACGTTATGGGGTGCTATGGGGGCGAACCTGTGCTATGGTGTGGTATGTTCTGTCATGGCATGGTATCGTCTGACTAATTTCGCCATTCTACGTTATGGTATGACATGGTCCGGTATGAAGTGTGGTGGTATGTTATGCAGTGGTATAAGTTATGGCTCCGTCGTGCTGTGCGTATGGTAACTGCTGTGCTATGGTTTAATGTTGTACATCGTTTCATGCCGTGCTCTGTCATGGTATGGCTTGTCATGGCAATATAATGTGAGGGGCTGTGGTGTTGTGTCATAGTATGTACTGGTCTGTCATGGCAGGTTCGGTTCTGATACGACATGGCCTGTTATAGTATGGCATGCTCTGTTCGCATACGGTATGGCATGGTGTGCTATGGCCTGGTCGGTATCGTCCTAGCGTGCGTGGTTATGCTGTGTTATGCGAACAGATGTTATGTCACTGTATGGTTTGATGTGATATGTTAGTGGTCGGTACGTTCAGTTCTGTTCTGGCATGGTATGAGGTGCTTGAGTTGCCACGCGACGGAATACTCTGTGCTGTGATGTTGTGGTCTGCCACGCTCTGATGAGTCATGGTGCGTATGGTCTGCAATGCCCTGTCAGGGTTTGATATCCTCTGCTACGTGATAATATGGTATGGTGTGTGGTGGTATGCTATGTTCTGCATGGTTTGTGGTGTCATCGATTATGGTGTTATCCTGTGTCATGTTCTGCTATGTTGTAGTATGTTGTGTCGCGCTAGGTAATGTTTTGCCATGATACGCAGTGCTCTGCTCTGTGATGCTGTGTTATGCTATGACTTGCTCCGTGTTCGTCGAGGGCGCGAGGCGGGACACTCGGGGGATACTCGGTGGGCCTGGGAATATGTCGGGTGGGCCGGTCGGCGCGAGTCGGGACACTCGGGGGATACTGGGTGGACCTGGGGATCTGGCGGCCGCAATATGCAGACTGGGCGGGTTAGGCGGTCTGTTCTTAAAGTCTAACAGTCCCAATCTGTTGGGTGGGGAAAACATGCATACCTCAAGGCTCTGAACGTCTGTGGCTGAAGCAACGCGGCCCTTCCCCAAGACCTGTTCGCAATTGCGCAATCTCCTCCTCCAGCTGCTTGATGCGGCCCTCGAGCTGGGCATTGAAATCCTCGAGCGGCTTCGCTCACACCCCTGGAGGGACTGATCCTCCTTATGTTCTCCTCTTCCCACCCTCTTCATCCACTTCCCCCCTCGCCCTCCTTTTTCTCCTATTCTAATTACTGGGGTACCTGACTTCGAGCTTCGCCCTGCGCAAAGAGCAATTTTCCTCGCACTCCAGCGCCGCCCTGCGGCAGAAGAGCAGATCTCTGGCCCTACGGGTATCTCGCGCCCCAAAGAGTCGCGCCCTGGCCATACTCCTCCAGCTCAGCCTTCGGTTGATGCTGCTCCCCCTCCTCATCACCTCCCCTGCCTCCTCCCCTCACCCTTCAGAGCAGGTGGAGGCGCAGAGGTGACCAGCGCAGCAGCAAGACAAACAAATCCCCCGCCAGCGTGACGGGCACGGGAACCGAACGGGGGCGTGCACGCCACGCTCGCTCCGCAAGAGGAGGCCACAGCACGAGAGAGACGAACATAAACGAATCCCCAGCGAGATGACATAGCGACCTTTCGCGGTGGCTTATTGAGGGGCAACGATAGGGGGGGATAGGCATAGGGGGGGATGCATCGACCTGGAATCGGCGATACATCGCCGATAGATCGGAGATAGGTCCCCGATTGCGAAGCCGCACCTTCCTGGGCGGGGTTGGGCTATCAGACCCCTATCGGCGATCAATGGGCGATTTGGGATCGATGCATCCCCCCTATGCTCATCCCCCCCTTATCGTGGCCCCTGACTTATGCGGGCCGCCAGCGCGGCATGCTATATCGGACACGAGGGCGCTCACGCGCGACCTTACGCGGGCAACTGTCGCGCAATGCCGGCGCAGACGACTCGTTTTTTTGTGCGTCGCTCGTGTAGAAAGACGCCCGGATGGATGAGGAGAGTAAAGGTCCGATGCCCAACAGCGAATGTGGTCCAACATCGGTAGCGGCCGCTGTTGGGCAGGCGACCGCCTGTCACAAGTAGACAACGCCCACGACGTCGCCGACAGCGAGGCCTGTTCTACATGTGCAGGAGCCCCTGCGGATATCCGTCCCCTTCCCCGTTCCGATCGTACTAATCACTACCCTCCGACCCCGCTGGGCCCCCGAGAAAGTTCCTCGAGGGACTTGACGCCCCTGGTCGCGGCCTCGGCGGACTCGCGCAGCACCTCGGCCCGCACTGCGGGAGACACGAATGCACCCCGACAGCTACTCCACGGACCTCTCCGGGGGCGCGCTCTGACAAGGATTTCGAAGTGAATCTGGCCGTCGCCACGAGGGCAGGGTACAATCGGGAGCTCTGGCTTCGCGTGTCGCGCCGACGGTTCCGGATCACCACGCCTCGGCGCGACACGCTGTCGATGGCAGGGTCCCCAAGCGGCCACATCCCGAGCCTTTCCCGGCCTCCCGCCCTGCGGAGCGGAACGACACGTTATCCACTCGCAGGGCATTGTGTGTCGCCAGAGCCACCGCCGCGACACGCCAAGCGAAAGTTCCCAATTGTAGCGTTATCGGTACCCTTTCCTCCTCTGACGCACGGGCCCGCCGCAGCCTCAAGGCGGGGGGCCTGGTCGGAGGCAGCTCGGCGGGCCGCTGGCGGGGCAGCGGCCAGCCGCATCGGATGCACCGCCGCTGCTGACCGCTGCTGCCGCCCTCGTGCTCTCCGCTTCTGATTTCTGTTTGGGCCACCATCACGCGCCCACAACAAAGTCCAAGATCCGAAGGGGCCGACACTCTTCAAAGTAACCGACTGGATTAGATAAATCGCACGTGCTCGAGGATCAAGGCAGAGCGACGGGAAAAGCATGAAAGAGACACGAGAAAGGAACGGGCAGAGTATGGAAAACTGGCGCCCCCCGCAGCTCTGGCAGCGCCTCCATCATCACCTAGATCGGCATCATCCTCCCTCGGTGGAGGCGACCGCCGATCTTTGTGCTGGTGCTGGCCTCTGGGCCCCCGACATCCTCCCCCAGGGTTGCCCCTGACTGGAGAGCCCCTCCCCCTGCCCCGACCCTCTCGGCGTGCCGCCGAGACCACCCCGGGGATGCGCCCGTGCACCCCCTGCGCAGCAGCCGCGCGCCGCGCCCGCGCTCCTCCAGCGGCCCTCTCCGCAACCGCCCAATGCCGCCGGCGTCACGCCCAGAGCCAGGCGGCCGTATGAGCATCGTTGAGCCGGTTCCCATCCCCGCTGGCATGGCCTGGGCCCCGCTGGCGGACCCGTACCCCTACTGGGTTGGCATCTACAAATTCCTGTGGGCCTCGCATGGCCTATGCCCACCCGCGGGGGTGGGCTGGTGGGGCTGAGGTACCATTGCCCCATTGGGGATGAGGGTAGGCTAGGCGACGCAGATGGAAAAGGAACCTTGACCCTGTTCGGGTTGGAACCCCCTGATTGGGGGCCCAAAGGCACGGTCATGCCCTCTCGGGGGAGGTCAACCCAGTAACGCCGCCACACGAGAAAGGTAAGCGCAGGTCAGATGAAGAACAAACTGAGTGCGGCTATCGGAGAAGATCTTTTTGCACCACTGTGGGGGGCGCCATCCCACAGTGGCATCGACAAGCCACACCCCGAACGAAAACACCAGCAACGCAGGGAACACGACCAGGAGGAGGGATGAACAAGGAGTGAACAGCAAAAGGCAAATTAATCAAGGACGCCATGGAAGGCTACTTCCGAAGCTGTTGCCCAAGGCGAGCGGATCTCCCCGTGAAATCCTGGGCAACTGCCGACCAAGTCCAACCAGGAAAAGACAGACGCCAGCTGGTCGGCGGGAAGCTGCAACAAGTGGACAAGCACAACACGCCTTCGACCATCGGAAGAGGCACGGAGAGCAGGAGGGAGGCGCGGTAGGAGCAGGAAGGAGCGCGACTAAACGATAGGACGCCCAGCATGTGCAAGAGGGTGCCACCTGCGAAAGCGCGACCATCCCCGCTCGGCTCGACGACGCGGCCGCTGCGCAGCGCGAGCCGCAAAGGTCGGTGGGAGACCCGCCGCAGCTGCTGCAGTGCTCCCCGCTCCCTCGCCCCGCCGGCCCCCTCTCGCTGCCCCGCGCCCGCCAGGCGCCGCCACGGGCGGGGCAGTCCGCAGGCAGGAGGCAGAGCCTGGAGGCGATGGGCTGCACGCACGGGCGACCCCGGGCAAGAGTTAGGTCGGGGCGTGTCCCCCTGCAAACGGATTTCGGGCGTTTGTTTTATTGTTGTTGGTGGTGGTGTTTTTGTTGTTGTTGTTGTTGTGGTGGTGGTGGTGGTTGTTGTTGTTGTTGTGTTGTGCTGTTGTTGTTGCTGTTGTTGTTGTGTTGTTGTTGTTGTTGCTGTTGTTGTTGTTGTTGTTGTTGTTGTTGTTGTTGTTGTTGTTGTTGTTGTTGTTGTTTTGTGTTGTGTTGTGTTGTGTTGTGTTGTGTTGTGTTGTGTTGTGTTGTGCTGTGCTGTGCTGTGTTGTGTTGTGTTGTGTTGTTGTTGTTGTTTGCATATGCATCTATATATGTATATACACACAGAAAATCGAGTAATACCCCCAAGTAGCACAAACGTGCTCAAACATAGTCACCGTATTTCCCTACCTAGGCTCTGCCTAGACGGGTTCTTACTCTCTTAAATTAAAGGGGCCGGGCAGTGCAAAGCGCCCCGGGCGGTTCCCCCAGTCCCCCGGGAGCGGTTCCCCCAGTCCCCTGGGAGCTTTAGCTTTAGCTTTAGCTTTAGCGTTAGCTTTAGCTTTAGCTTTAGTTTAGCTTTAGCTTTAGCTTTGGTTTAGCTTTAGCTTAGCTTTAGTTTAGCTTTAGCTTTAGCTTTAGCTTTAGCTTTGGTTTAGCTTTAGCTTAGCGTTTAGCTTAGCGTTTAGCTTAGCGTTTAGCTTAGCCTTTAGCTTATCCTTTAGCTTAGCCTTTAGCTTAGCCTTTAGCTTAGCCTTAGCTTAGCTTTAGGTTGGTTTTAGCTTAGCTTTAGCTTAGCTTTAGCTTAGATGTAGCTTAGCTGTAGCTTAGCTTTAGCTTAGCTTTTGCCCAGATTTAGCTTAGCTTTAGCTTAGCTTTAGCTTAGCTTTAGCTTATCGTTAGCTTAGCTTTAGCTTAGCGTTAGCTTAGCTTTAGCTTAGCGTTAGCTTAGCTTTAGCTTAGCTGTGGCTTAGCTTTAGCTTAGCTTTACTGTTACTACTAATGCTGCTTTCCTAGGGGTTCCAACTCCGAGGTAGGGTCGCACTGGGATAATGTTTATACGGTTGTTTTGCATATTCCTCCTGTAGAGAGGGACAGGCCCGACTTCAGGCAAGAGTGGCCTCTGGTGCTCGGCCTGCCTGCCGCCGCGCGTGGTAAGGGCAGCAGCCGCCTGCGCGCAGGGGCCCGCTGCCCGAGCGCCGCGCACCCGAGGCCACGCTGGCGAACGGGGCGCTCTCGCGTGCAGCTGGGGCAAAGGGGGGTCCCGCAGCAGGGCGGCATGTCGACCCCCATCGTGGGGTTCTCGAACGGACAACCCAAATTTGGGGCCCAACCCTGGGAGATATTCGAGGAGGGGGAGGGGGGGCCGTCCGGATAGCCCCCTCGGAGCGTATCCCGAGGTTTCCCAATTGTCCTGCGCGGCCAGAAACTGTTCGGGCGGAACTCGGGGACCAGGGGAGAACAGCCGCCGGCGATCCTGGAAACCCTTCGCCGCTTTCGGGGGGTGGCGCCAGGGCCCGAAAGCGGGGCCCGTAACTCTCAACAAAGCGACTGCACAGGATGATGGGGATCCTCATGCCCCCGACGTCGCATTTCTTCATGACCTCGACCCCCCCAGAGGTCTCGACCCCTTCCCCGGGACCGGCGTTTCGTCAGGAATCGTTGTTTGGCGGCCCCGAAGCCCGGCGAGGGTCCCCCAGAGGGCGGAAACAGCGAGAAACCTCCCGTGTTGATTCTTTCACGACGCGAAAGAGGGGGTCTGGAGACCCCAGGCCGAAGGTTACGACTTTCACGACGCGAAGGTTAAGCAGCATTCCTATAGGCCTTTCACGCCATGTTTTGGGACAAACGCGATGTTCTTAGAACAAGAATACAGACGCACTAAAACAACACAGTCTCAGCAAGAAATGTTCTAAGAAGATTCCGAGCAAGCCGCAAAAGGCTCTTAGAGCATTCTTTGATGCACCTTTAGGAAAATCAAGACGCTTCGCCACTGCTTGAGAAAAGGGTCTGGGACTGGCCCTCCGCGGGAAGCCCCGGAATATATGGGGCCCCGCTTCACTCGGGGCCCCTCCCCCCCGGGCCGTGGCACGCGATGGAGGACGGGGCGCGCAGAGGAGGGGCTGGCCATAGACTCTCTCCCAACATTCGTGCCAATCCAAGCGCGGGTCAGTCAGGCTTTGCAGGATCCTGCAAGATCCTGCAGGATCCTGCGCCCTAGCCCAGGTCAGTGCAGCCCTGGCTTTGCAGGATCCTGCAAGATCCGGCGCTCTGACTGACCCCCGTTTGCATTGACCCCCGTCACTTGAGCCCTGGCTCTTGTCCACTCGCCTCAGGCAGTCTGGCAGTGCAGGACGACAAGATCGGCGGCGAGCGAGGGGGGAAAGCGAGAAGGAGAAGGCCTTGGCAGGGTAGGGTACCGACCAGCATCCGACATCCAGAGGTCCCCGCGGCTGCCCTCGCCTCGGTCCTTGGAGACCTCTGATACTCTCCCCCGAAGTCCACGGAGGCCGCCGAGTGTCCCCGCGCAGGCCCCTCGGGGCCTCGGGCGCCACGAGCCAGGCCCTCCCAAACGCGCCCAACCCCGCTCCTCTGATCGGCGGCGAGCCAGGGGGGACGCGAGGAGGAGGAGGCCTTCTCAGGGGGCGGCGGGCTTTCTCAGAGGCCCTCGCGCCTTTTTGTTCCTATTCCCCCTCGCTCCTCCTCGCTCCTCCCCCTCCTCCTCCTCCTCCTCCTCCTCCTCCTCCTCCTCCTCCTCCTCCCCTCCTCCTCCTCCTCCTCCCCCTCCTCCTCCTCCTCCTCCTCCTCGCTCATTGTTCTGCCCATTCCTCCGCCAGAGCCGCCGGCGCGGCCAGCGAGCCCTGCGTCGAGAAGTGTTCGGGGCCGTCTGGCCTTTGAGCAGGCGGCTTGCTTCGCTCGCCTTGCCGAGCGAACGCGGCAGCGGCGGCGAGGCCTCTTGGCCGTCTTCCAGCCTCCGGGCCTGACACGCGCCCGCCGCCCTGGCAGCGCGAAGGCGGCCGTTGGGCCGAGAGGCCTCTGTGCGAAACGTTTCCTACGTATTCGGGAAAGTTTAGTAAACTTCTCAGACGGCCAGGGGACTTCTGAGCCTTCTGAGGAGGCCCGCCCCTCATCACTTCCCCTCCGGGCGCGCCGCCGAACTCTCGCAGGGCGGTGCGACAACGGGCTCTGGAGATCTTGGGGCGCGTCACTGTCCTCGCGAGCGGCGAACATATCGCGAACATATCCATACCCATGCCCCCGCAGTCTGTATCCGGGGGCGCGATCCCCTGCATGCGCGGTCGCATGGATACGTTCCGCGCGGCGGGCATCCGCGAACAAAAACAGTTCGTATCCATGGCGTCGCGCCCCAGGGGCCCAGCCCACGAGGCCGTGCATACGAAGATCTTTCCCGCCCGCGATATCACTGCGTCTCGCTCCTCTGAGGGCGGGGGCCTGCAGCTCCGTCAGAGCGTTTGGCAGGTCGGCGGCGTTGGAGAGGGCGCCCGCGAGAGCCTGCCGCAACTGTCTGGACTCCTGGGTGCGGGGAGCGGGGAGGGGCGTTGCTGGCCCCTCTGGGCGGAAGGAAAAGAGGACAGCGAATAATTTCTCCACTCGTGCAACAAGGAGATGCAGATTGGGAAATCCGCGGCCCCTCAGCAGGGCTATCCCAATCGCACGCTTCATGGACCAACGAGGGCAACGAGACACGCGCACCGCAAAAACAGGAGAAGCTCAATGGCCTGCTGAGCGGTCGCAGCTGGGACCACGCAGCGTGACCAACAAACTGATGCCAAGACTCCGAGGAGAGAACAGCGATGAGTTCCGCTCTCTCCCTGTGACATGCAGACCCCTTGCTGGGGGGCGCTCGGCAGGCTCCCCCTCGGCAGCCCTGGCCGCCTTCCACCACAGGAGGCGGGGTGCCAAGGGGCAGGAAACGGGGAGGGGCGGCCTCCGCTCCTCTCCCTCTTCCCCCAGCTGTGCGTCCAGCTCCCTTGCTCCTCGTTGCCCCTCTGTCGCCACAGATCACAGCGCCTGGCGCAGCATGTGGCTGGCAGCAGCAGCAGCGGCAGGAGAGAAAGATCCACCAGCGAGGGCACTGCACGGTGCTGAGTCAGCACCCTGCGGCGGGACTGCGGGCGCGAGGCCGCTGACGGCGCCGCACTTGAAGCTGGAACTCGACGTCACCGTCGTGCAGAGGTGATTCGGCACGGGGAGGGTGCACGAGGCGGGCGCAGAGGCCGTAATGCAACACTGGCAATGATGCAAAAAAAACAGGGACGAGGAGGAATAGGAAACGGAAGAGGAAGAGTAAAAGGATGATGACGATGCGGAGGAGGAGGAGGAGGAGGAGGAGGAGGAGGAGGAAGAGACGCATGGAAGCAATGAAAGGGTTTTTATCGTTGGTGCAATGATTTTGGCCTCGTGGAGCGGGGGAGGAGGGGAGGGGTCCAGAAACGTATTTTGCGCCGGGACGACGGGCCGGCCAAGTTTTCTGGCCTCACTACTTCTCGTCGTTGTATTCGATACCTTTGGCGTCCTGACAAGACATCAGGGACGGCTGGCTGTGGAGAGCGTGTTTCATGGGCGCGGGGCTCGGCAACACCCGACCCCATTCCCTCTGGGGCCGAGATCCCCCAACCCAATCCCCCTCCAAACTCCCCACACCCCCTCGAAAATGCCCACCTCCTCCGGTCAGAGAACTCTTCCTCCCATTCCCACCGAGTGCGCCCCCCCCCCCCAGGCCCCCTCGCGCACACACTCAAAAAAAACAGACACCCACACACAAACAAACACACTCACAAGCACACACACACACTCACACACACATACACACACATATACACTTGTTGCGTCGGCGGCTGGGCAGAGGTCGACTGCTCCGGCGGGCAGGCAACAGGGGACAAGCTGTATGAAAATCAAGGCCGCGATGCAAGGGAAAAGGAGGAGGAGCCCCGGCGCGACGGGGGGAGAGGAAGCCGGGCCACTCAGAGCTGCCGTCGGCGGCAGGGGGCAGCGCTGGGGGGGGGGGAAGCAGCGCAGGCACAGGCTGTACTGCACTGCGCTGAGCGGAAGCTGGGGGGGGGGGCAGCAAAGAGCTGCAGCAGGTGGTGAAGGGACAGCGAAGCGGAAGCCGACCCCGGACCAGGGACAACCCAGGGAGAGGCGGTAGCACCGAGACCGGCGGGCCTGCGAGGTGCGGACAAGGAGGGATGGGGCCGAGCGGGCCAGCCTCAGCAGCAGGCGCACAGACACACGCAACTAAACACACACTTGTTTTAAATCAGCAGCGCAGAAGAGCCTCAGGCACGGTCTGCAGGGGGAGGTACCGAACGCGAACGAACTTAGCCGAACGCGCCATGATGAAAAAATCCAGTCAAGGCTATGCAAGATTAGTGGTGCAAAGACAGGGAAGCGCTGTTATGCCAAAGTGCAACGGCTAAACAAACAGAGGAACGTACGTAAGCTCGACGCGGGGAGCTTGAAGCGCAAGCAGCAGCCTGGCGCGAATAAAGGCATCATAAGCAACGAAAAAGAACTGCAAGGCTCCCGGACCAGCCAACTTGGTGGCGGTGCGTACACGCATGGAAACTGCGCAACCGAGCAACGCCACCGACCTTGCAGCGAGCAACTATCATATTGAGCGACCTTGCAGCAGGGTGCATGAGGTCGGCGTGACAAGATTCAAGATGATCACGCGGCCGAAGCTGGCTTAACCTTGGGCAAAAAAACAAAACTGAACACGGGCTGCCGCGAGCAGCAAACGCGAAACGCGGCGGCGCTCATGGGTGGTGGACAGGCGCGAGCATGGCCAACGTGCAATGCAGACGCCACAATTACATCAACAACCCCAACCACAACCAGAGCCGCGAAGGGCTACCGGCGAGGCAAATGAAAACAACGCAAAAGATGGGGCAACCACCACAAACAAGCAAGACTGTGCGCATTGCCATAAAGGACGCACCACTCCGACCAAACGGCGCCAAAGTAAAAGAGAAAACGAAACCGAGCCCACCAACGGCATGCGCCAACGCTCAGGCTGAAGGAAAACCCCGCGGTGGGACGACCCGGAAGGAAAAGAAGGGATGGGGGCGGAACGCAGCAGAAATGCCCGGAAAGACGATGGCGGAAGACCCCGCGACACGGCCGACCCGCGACAGACCGCAGCGGCGAGGCGAGCGACCCCCGCGACCCAAAGGGGAAGGGGACCGACGAGCCACCGCGGAGGAGCGTTGCCAGCAGAGCGAGCTGACATACAGCTGAAACGGCCAGCAGGAACAGCGAACTGCGGCCCCAAGCGCGGACGCGCACGCCCAGGTGCGACGCCAGGAAGCAAAATCTAAAAAGGCCGCGGCCATGCCGGTCCGCGCCCCATGTCAGGCCGCAAACAAAAAAGCGGTAAAATCGCCGCCGGCCCCCCTGACAAACGGAAAATGGCGCCGACCACGAACGGTGCCGGGTGGAAATTGTCGCGCGCGCGCCCGAGTGGGCGCAGAAAAATCAGTGCCTCGGCCAACGCATGGCGCATGGCAACACCCGACCGAGTGCCGCGAGATACCCTGGAGGTACGATCCAGCCAGGTGGCCAAACAGCACCCCCGCCTAAGAAGTTGGCCAAAAGAAGGGCGGCACGGCGCAAAAGAGGCTGAAGCGAGCGACCCCAAGGCGAAACCTGGGGCCCGCGCGAAAAGAGGGGCGCGCCGCGGCCATGCCGGCCAGCGAACCATTCGACTAGACGTAGGAGTGGCCCTAGGCTAGAATGACCTTTGGTGCGCGGCTTCAGGGGCGCCCGTGGGGGCCCAACGCAATCGCTCAAGCCGGCGCTGCCGTGCCGCATCAACGATCGGCGGGGCGCCAGTCGAAAGTTGTTTTGTGCCAGCAGGCAGCCGCGGAATTCCGCCGAGTGAATTCGGGCGCCCCGAAGGGCACTTCGAAGCGTTGCGGCAACAGACGCTGCCGGGAGCCACCGCGATGAGGTCTGGCACTGCTGGGCTGCATCGCGATGGCGTCTGACCAGGCCCAGCGCCATGGCCAAAACCGGCCCCGTCCGAGAGCCTGGGATCTGTTCCTATATATTATGATAGCTTCTATGAATAATGGTCCACATTGGCTCGACAAAACATATTCAAATATATTCAAACATAGCCTCAGGAAGCCATTAACGCCCCCCCCCCCCTTTCCGGCGAAAGTATAACTCACCCGGCATCCCAGAAACGTCACCGTAGCACCTCGCACCTTTATGTGAACGCAGACGAGTCTGCTCGCCGACACAAACAAAACGCCTGAGACATTCTTGCAATATGGTCTCCTTGTGGTTCTGAAACAAGCGCCTGGCCTGAGACATCCTCAGAAAGGGCTCTGGACGCACACGAGTCTGCGTCAGGTGGTCGGTCTGGGCGAGAACTGGAGTGGCCGCGCGTCTTCCTAGCGCTCGGCCTTCCGAGCAGGGGCGCCCCAGCAAGGGAGAGCCCAGTTTTGAAAAGGAACCGCCCGTACCCACAATGGGGGGCGAATAGTTTTGCCGGCGTGGCGTGGGCGATATCCTCGGATGCGCTGCCTCGCGCGACGGCCAGGAAAAAACAACTTTTCAATAGGGGTGGTAGCAAGAATCGTAAATGAAAAAGATGATGAAGGAATTGAAAAAATTGAGGGAGGGAGGAAAGAAACAGGGGAGTCCGTCTGCTTTCGGATTTCATTCCAATTAGTTTCATTACTCTTATTCGTACTCGTACTCTTAATCCGAATCGTATTCTGATTTGCGTTAGTATTCCGATTCTTGGTTTTATGGTACTGCGTGTCATTTTGGACAAACTGTCGTAATTAGTTTGTGCGGGTGCGGTGATAAGATATAACGCGCCGTGCGTGGCGGGGGCGATATCCTCGGATGCACTACCCCTCGCGACGGCGGGGGAAAACATGTTTTCAACAGGGGTGGTAACAATCATCGTATAGGACAAGGATGATGAAGATAACGTCTTCAAAAGCTAATATTAATATGTTTCTTCGCATTCCCATTCTTACTATTGCATGTGTTATTCAAATTCTTCGCATGCGGATTCTGATTAGTATCATTATTATTGTTATTCTCACTTTTACTCTTACTCACGCGATTACTCTTAAACTGTCCCATATTATTGTTATCATTCGTACCCTGTCTCTTATCATTATTGTTACACTTGTTATTATTATTATGTTCCGTACTACTCGCATTTAACTCTTCTTCTGAATAGTATTCCAATTCCAATTGGGATACCACCCGAGCCGGGGCGCGGGAATTACTCATGTTCGTTCCATTTGCGCGTTGCTAATCATATCGTTCGGCGAAAACCGCCCCCCCCAGAACTGTTAAATTACGGTGCGGTGCTAATGATAACCCTGGGGGGAGTCCCTAATGGCTTCCTGAGGCCATTCAAAGATATTCAAATCTATCCAAAGATATTCGAGCCAAACGTTTTGGGATTTGGGGTGGGATTCGGGACTGGCCCTGGGCTGGAAAACGCGCCGTCTGGGCGACCGGATCCCCCTCGGGTAGCA